TGGCGAGCGAAGCTCCGTTTCACGCGTTGAAGAGCTACTGTGCGATCCCGAAACGCGCATATTCAGGCAATGTGCAATTGACAGAGTGCACCCCGAAGAATAAAATAAACATGTGCGTCGAGCTGTTTGCGCGTCGGCCATTCGGCCAGAACTTGCGCGCCATCTGGCGGGGACTCTTCGCACGCGAACTCGCCCGTTGTCTCGGGCGGCGCCCCCGCGCAAATGAGGAGGGCGGATCGCGCCTCGCCGGCATGGAGAGCTTGCAATTCTTCATCCAACGAAATCAACGCGCGTTCAGGTGCCACAAGAAGCTCAGCCCCTGGTTCTACCGCACCAAGAGCGTCGATATCCTCTAACACCAGGACAGACAATGGATCACCTATCACCTGCATCCAGTACCCCCTTCTCCAAGACGCGCCCATCTACCGCCGTGCGTCCTGACGTGGCGGCCCGAAATTGCCCGCGCTACTCCCGGGCCCCAAACGTCATCTGGCGCCGTCGTGGTCTCCTGAGCCAGAACTCCAGAAACAATGGTATGAGACCGAACTTGCGCAAAAAAGCAATTTTCGGACGTGGCGCGGGCGTTTCCACCCCCCCGCGCGCACGCCCCCTGAAGCGCGGCCCTTCTCTTTAGCCGCGATGAACCCTTCTGGCCCAGCGAAATCTCGAGGGGCCGGGGGGGCCGCGCCTTTCGCCCGCGCCTCCGCCCCAGACCGCGCAGCATTCACTAGCGGGCCTTCGACTAGGTTGACCTTCAGCTTCGACGGGACGCACGGGCGCCGCAACTTACCAGTGGAATACAACAAATCGCGCAAAGCTCGCGTTGCCCCTTCAGCAGCCCGGGCACGCATGACAAGAATTAGCGGCGAAGTGGCCGCCCAGATATCGGGCGCGGCGCTCGGCGGCGCCCGCCGTCCGCAAGCGCCCGCGATGGAACTCGCGAGCCAGAGCGTGGGAGCCCGCGCCGGTGAGAAACGCCGATTGTTCTTGTTCGGCTTGCTGATGTTCTGCGCCGCCCCCGCCTCCTCCATGCCCTCGTCGATCACTTTGTTTCCTGCAGCTGAGCCTGCTGCTAGTGGTCCTGCCCTCCTCCCCTTCCCTTTTCCACGACTTGCTTCGCAATGTCATCGGCGAATCCTGTTCGATCTACGTCTTGCATCGCGCAGCTCTTGCAAAACAAATCGGAGACTGGCTGCTAGACTGGCCGCAAGAAGGCGCGCGCGAAGATGCGAAATGGCCCCCGCGTCGCCAGGAAATGCCCCGCCCCCGGGCCTCAACCGAAAAACATCCCGCCTCCTCCTCCAGCTTGAACTGCCCCCGCGCCCCTATCTCCCAAAGCTCGAAATCCTCCGCGCAATATTGAGAATCCCCTATCTTTAAGATTTAATCGCGCTGCAAAGAAAGACGTCGGCGGCGTCGCGCGCGTGAGCACGGGCGAGACTTCGCCATCATGCACGCGGTGCCTACCCATGACCACGGCAGTTCCCCCCGTCGATCCGGAAATCCCCCGTGGACCCGGCCCTGCGGTTCCGAAGCGTAGTTTTTCTTGCGCGCGTGGGGGCGTGCCGTTTCTTCGCGGCTCACGCATGGAAGCGCTTCCCCAGGGTGTGCGTGACCATTTTGATCCTTTCGCCATCGCAATCCAACTTAGCAGACTTAGGAAGTCTGGCAGCCTGAGCCACGCGCTAGTCAACAGGGGTGTGCCTCCAGCGCCGACGCGCTGAGAGAAGCTTCTAAACGTGCCCGCGGAAGCGCTCTTCTCGAGTTCGATGGGTCCATAGCCGAGGCCCGCCCTGGCTCCGGAGCGTCGTGAATTGATCCATTGCGGATGCAACGGGGCGCGCGATGTCTCAGGCGGGCATGGCCACTGCGGCCGCGTCCGCCAAACAACGGGGCCGTCACGCTGCGGACGACGTGCTGTCGTAATCTGCCCTTGCCATCCACGCAGCATCCATTCCATCCCGGAGGTCTCAGCAACTCATGAAATCCATGTTGCACGTCCACCAGGGTGGCAAAGCGATCCGAACATATTCCTTGGACTGCAGGAAGTTGCATGCGAGAGCGCCACGCCGCGGCAGCGGCAGCAAATAAGGGAACAGCGCGAAACTGACGTTTCCAAAGCCCTCGTCCTCTCAATGACAAAACTCGCTGTAGCTTGCACGCGAGAGAAGAATGACGCTGCCCTACAACTTCGGTGAAGTCAGCGGCCCGTCGTTCCCGGGCGTGCTCCTAACATTTCCGAGCCGCCCTGTGTTGGCGATTGAAATGTGTAATGGCCAGGGTCTGGTGATGCGCCGGAAAAGCGTTGCCTGCGCGCCCTAGTTTCTCACGTCGCTGTTGCCTTCGGTCGACGAGGATTCCCGTATGCAAACCCAGAGCCATAATTTAATCAAGTTTGCGTGCGTGCGCGCGGTGTTTGTGGTTTCTTGTGTGTGTGTGTGTGTGTGTGTGTGTGTGTGTGTGTGTGTGTGTGTGTGTGTGTGAGTGTGTGTGTGTGTGTGTGTGTGCGTGTGTGTTCCGTCCAATGCTGTTTTGTGTTGTTTTGCGTGTGCGTGTGTGTTTGTGTTTTTTTTCTTTTTTCCACGAGGGGGGGTCTGCCGCAGTCGATCGCCCGGGAGGTTCGATCGCCGCCCCAGCGCGGGTCGCCCCCGCCAAAATCCCCCCGCCAGGGGGGGCTGAAGCGGGGGGCTTTTCCAGCGGGCGCCCCCGCTCGACTGGGAGGGCGCGGGGGGGTCCTGGACCGCCCAAGGGTTCCCAGGGCGGGCCGGCTCGCCCGGGGGGCGCCCGGGGGGGTCTCTGCCGCTCAGTTTCCACGCGAGTCGCCCGGGGGGGTCTCGCGCAGGAACGGCCCTCGCGAATCGCCCAGGGGGCGAAGTAGCCCGGGGGGCGCCTCAGAGGGCAGCGCGCGGCGCGAAGGATTCATGCGAATCTGTCGCGGGACCCCCGCGCATTTCTCGCTGGGGGCCCGGGCTGCCGCGAACGTTTCGCAGGGGGCGCAACGGTCTGGACAATCGCGCAGGGGGGGGGGGGGGGGGGCGAAGAAGAGAAGAGGGGGGGCCCCGCGCCAAAGCCTCGAGGGCCACCTCCAGGGCCGAGCGGGCGACGGACACTGGGGGCAGGAAGCGGCCAAGGATAGAGAAGGGAGTCGAATGATAAGAGCGGGGGGGGGGGGGGGCGCGAGCGGCGCACGGAGGAGCAGAAGCGGCGAGGAAAGGATTTCCCCGGTTGATCGTGCCAAGAAAACGGCGAGGTTGATGACTCGTTGGAGGCTCTTACTTTGCACGCGCAACTTTTCGCTCGCTAGAACGCTGTATGTTAACGCCTGCACAGCTGCATCAATGACGATGTCCATGACCTTGCGATTCGTCTCATCCACCTCACCTTGCCCCCGTCCATGCATTTCCAATATTCACACTCCACCTCCTGCGCTGTGCCATTCAATGTTTGGGAGACGCATGTCGCTTGTGCCCACTTTGCGCGCGTTCATACAATGCCTTTCGATCAAGACGGGGTCCTCGAGCTGCAGCGGCATCGTCGCCGCCTGACATAACGCATTCAACGCAACTGGCCTGTGATTGCGTGCTTCGGCTGTCTGATGTAGTTGCAATCGTTTGCCTGGCTGGCCATGGACACAACATGACTGAACAGCTGGGAGACCATCTCTCGGCGCGAAGAGGTGATCTGTGTGGCTGGCTCCAGTCTCTCCTACGAGCGCGGGCGGTGGGGGAAAATACGTAGTGACTGCCACTAGGTCCCACGAGGCCGAGACACTCCGCGCTGATGAAGAAACTGGGGGCGTGCGTCCTGCTGAGAACTCGCCTGCAGTCGTGGCATTCCCGCTCAATGGAAAACCTCCATAACATCTGCATCTATCAAAGGCACTGCGCGTCGGTCATGGAAGAACTCGGGTAGACGGCAACCACTCACGCAGAGCCGCGACAGCCTGCTCACAGTCGGTCTTTTGGCCTCTCTTTGAGGCTAGCTGGGAGATGCATACCAACATGTTCATGACACTGTTCCTGCTGCCACACAAGAAAGCCATGAGCTCTTCCACACCGCTACTTTGGAACAGGGACAACTCGTTTGATACTCTGGCGTAGAAAAGCCTGCTTCTTTCGAGCCTGATAATATTGCTGCACCAGGGTGTAACAAGCGTGCCTCGACGCTATCCTGCACGGTCGCATTCAACGTACTGTATCCCAGGAAGTTGCCGGTATTGCCTTGCTGCGTGCCGCCGAGAATGATAACATCATAACTCGGATACGATCCCCAAGTAACAACGAACCGAGACAAACGGGATGCTACACGTATGTAGTGCCCATCGCACTTAACGACCACATCCCAAACATACTTTCGAACACCCAGAAAAGTACAGGAAGAGTGTCGGGAGAATGTCGAAACAATGTCGGGCGAGTGTCTCCTAGGGCCCGACACGTGAAAACCCTCGAGATTCGGTACTTTTGGTGCTCGAAATTCTTTATGGTGGTCAAGTCTAAGTTCGGTTGGAACACCATAACACACGGATTGTATCCGACCGCGCCTAACAGTCCTGCAACCATCAGGCCTGCTCTTGCGGGCGCGCGGGCGCCATGGCCGCCGAAGGCGAGAAAGGCCTCGGAGAGCTTGCGGTCCTCATCACTTGGAGGCGGGGGCGGTTCTCTCCGTGGCTCGGGCCACCTGGAGGAGGAGGCGGAGGAGGACGAAGAGGAGGAGGAGGAGGAGGGGGAGGAGGAGTAAGAGGAGAACGAGGAGAAAGAGGAAAACAAGGAGGAGGAGGAGCTGGCGGAGGAGGAGGAGGAGGAGGAGGAGGGGAGGGAGGAGGAGGAGGAGGAGGAGGAGGAGGAGGAGGCCGAGGAGGAGGAGGAGGAGGCGCAGGGAAGAGGGAGGTCATCAGACAAGGAGCAGGAGGAGCAGAGGGGCAGGGACGGAGCAGAGGACGGAGGGGGAGGACGGGCAGTTTCTTCTGTTGTGTGTGTGTGTGTTCATGTCGGCCTCCCCGCCTGTGCGGCGCCAGCGAGGAGGCCGTGGACTGGCCGCGCGCCACAGGCGCGCGCTGCCGCTCCAGGCGGGACTTCCGAGCGGTGAGCTCCTCCAGCCGGCGGTCCTCTGGGGGGCGGCCCGGCCCAAGACGAAACCAGTGGACAAGGACTCGTCGTCGTCGCCGCCTTCGTCGTCGTCGTCATCGTCGCCCAAGAGCGAAGCCAGGACAAGGATAACATCGGGCGGGGTTGCATGATGGGCCCGTCTTCCACAACCGCCACCATAAGTTGGAGGGGGAGGGGGTCCTCCTCTACCTCCTCCTCCTCCTCCTCCTCCTCCTCCTCCTCCTCCTCTTCGTCCTGTTCCTTCTCCTCCTCCTCCTCCTCCTCCTCGTCCTCCTCCTTCGCCCCTCCACGTCGGCGTGGAGCAAATCGGGCTCACATCGAGCCGCATCGGCGATGCATCGGCGATGCGGCGCGATCCTCCGACCCCATCTACTCGGACCCCATCTGGGAGGCCTAGAAATGCCAAAGGGGGACGTTACTTCCTCGAGGAGATGCAAATTTCTCGGGGGAGTGGAATGTCCCAAGCGTTTTAGGACCGCCCGGAGCTTCGATCCAGGAGCCTCGATTTCCCCCCTTGGCACTGCCCGCGCAACAAAACTATTGGGAGCGGCCAAGAGGAGGGTGTCCAACAGGGGGGGGTACAAATCATGACCGGCGGCACGTGCGCGGCCCAGCGGGGGGGCCAGGGACGTAGTGGAATAAGAAGAGGCGCCATGAGATCTGCGAAAATATCATGGCCCACGCCAGGATATCCACAATTAATCATCACCCCCCTCTTTGCCGCCCCCGAGACTATTCTCAGTGACGAGCCTGCGCCGGGGAAGGGGTCTAGACCTCTGGGGAGCCACGCTGTGACAAACACGCGACGTCGGATGCCTGGGCTGCCCCAACCCCCTCCCGTTCAGAGAAAATCATTGGCGTCGCTGGCACGTGTGCGTTTTTCCCCAGCGAGGACCCTCGAAGCGCGGTCATCTTGCGATAAAAAAACGCACGAAACCGAAACATACACGGGGAAGGGACGTCCGAGCGATGGCGAGCCACGGTAAGTTCTTTGTCAATTTTCCGCATCGGGGGGCTCTAAGGGGTCGAGATATCTGGGGAACAGCGCTACGCCCAACGGAGCATGGCTTCCTCACCAACGACTGCTGACAGAACACAGACTGCATGCCAGCTTTCTTTAGGAGCCGGCATGTTACACGTACTGCTCCATTTGTCCCCTCGGGGGGGCGACACATGCGATCGCTAAACCGACTCCTTACGAACCCTCGGCGAAACTCATGCGAACATGAACCCGCAAGCCGCTCATTGCTGCTGGTGGCGGCAAAACTTGCACGCGTGCCAACGAGAAAGGTTAGGAGGCAACGGCTGGGAGGTTTTCGCCGGAAAGATTAAAGAGTAAGCCCCACTTGGGAACTGTTACGCCGGAGTGGGCCTCGGGCTAAGAAGAATTAAGCGGGATCAAGCGGGATCAGGCCGGATTCAGCGGGGTTGAAGCTGGAGCAAGCCGGATTTCGGACCAGGGCATCATCAGAATTTGACCTCCCAGGAGTTGCACCCGAAGAGAGGGACTGGCATCTCGCCCGGAGCATCCTGGTCCTTGGACTTTGCGTACAGGCTGGCAGCCTCGTCGAGCAGCTCCTGCTCCTTGCGGGCCACCTCCAGAGGGGCAGCACGCAAGACAGAGACCGCGCCGCACGCGCAGGGTCACGCGCCACCATCACGGGGAAGGCTGGTCCTGGGAGGAGTTGGTCGCCGCTACTCCTAGGTCGGGCCTTGCCCCCCTACAGGGGAATTTTGGACGAACAATCAACAAATACCCACAACTATTCCAAAGATGCTCCAAAATAGTAAGAAAAATCGTCCCCCGAGTATTTGTTGACTATGTCTGAATTTTCCTCCTGTAGAGGGACAGGCCCGACTCCATGCTACTACTAGTAGACCATGGAATCACAGCAGCGAGAACTGGGAGCTACACGCTTCGAGAGGATCGGGGGGACCCTCGGCGCCCATCCGCGGGCCCGCAGCGCTTGCGGAAACGCGCCATGACACACTCGGACACTTGAAACCCAAGTTTAGGTCGGGCGTGTCCTCCTACAGGCGGATTCTGGAGGACACCTTGAAAGTACAACAAATGCCCAAAGCTTGTCAAATGTACACAGAAATCGTCCCCTGACTACTTTTTCTAATACCATTTTCGAATATTCCTCCTGTAAGGGGACATGCCCGATTTAATCAAACCCAAGCTTCTCATATATGTCAACATCGGCCTCGCTGCAGAGCGAACTCGCTCGGCACGCCTCTTCGTCGTCTTCACCCCGCGGCAAGTTCTGTATGGGTCACAGACTCTGGCACCAGAGCCCCGAGCAAACTTTTCGACCTTCAGATAGGCCGTCTGAGACCACTGACCAAGACCTCAGACGTCGCGACTTGTTCACAACGTGGTTCCCCCAAAGGTCGATCCCCTTCCCTGGGACCTGCTTTTCGTCCCAGGTCGATTTCCCATTGCACGGGCCTTGCAGACGTGCTGCAGCGGATTTCTGCGTGGATTTTTGCCCGAAGCGGCGAGCGAACAACGAAATGCATTTCGCGTGGAGTCTTTTTGGCCTTCATTCCTGACCTAAAAAAATCCGCGCGAAATGCACCTCGAAGTCCGGAACGAAATTCTCCAGGAAACTCTGGGCCCACCCTATCGTTTTCCGATCGAAATCCGCTCTGCGATGTTGGCGCCATGAGGTCTGTTCACAACGTGGAACCCCCAAACGTCGATCCCTTGGCGGGAGTGGCCAAGAGGGGGGTGTCCAAGAGGGGAGGTGCAAATCATGACCGGCGGCATGTGCGCGGCCCAGCGGGGGGGCCAGGGACGTAATGAAATAAGAAGAGGCGCCATGAGATCTGGGGAAATATCATGGCCCACGCCATGAGATCCACCCCCCCTAGTCATCACCCCCCTCTTTTCCGCCCCCGACCTTCCCTGGGACCTGCTTTTCGTCCCGGGTCGATTTCTGACAGCCCACGGCTGTGGCGAGGGTCCCCTAGGGCGGAAAATCGCCACGAGCGCCCCCGGTCGTGATCTGTTCCCAGCGGGAGGACGGGGGCTCAGCTAAGCCGCCCGACGCCGACAGGCCCGCCCGCCTCGAGGAACACGTCGGCTCGCATGCCCAGCGTGCAGAGGAACGACGCATGGCCTACGTACAAACCCGCCGAGCTCCGCGCTGGGCCTCTTGGCTCGGCGCTGGGCCCCGAGCGGCGCCAAAGGCGGGGCAGGAGGCGCCGCCCGGGGGGGGCGAGCGCCGATCCAATCAATCCGCGCGGAGCTCCGACATCTCCTCCTCCTCCTCCTCCTCGTTTTCCTCCTCCTCCTCCTCCTCCTCTCTCTCTCCTCCTCCTCCTCTCCTCCTCTCCTCCTCCTCCTCCTCATCCTCCTTCCTCCTCCTCCTCCTCCTCCTCCCTCTCCTCCTCCTCCTCCTCCTCCTCCTCCTCCTCCTCCTCCTCTCGGCCGCTTTTTCCCACACCAAGGTTCGGTGAGGTGCCTCACCGAAGCACCACCGCGGGATGCGCCACACCGACAGCAGGCCACACCGGCCGCAGCAGCACAGCGCCTCGCCGAAAGCACTGGAACCCCCGAGCCCAGGGGGGCCCCACCGGACAACAGCGCCAGAGCACAAAGGGGGCACCGCACTGCAGCTACGTCTCGCCGAGGGCCGAAAGCTCAAGGGGGTGCCGCCACAACAAGGAGGCCACGCCACGCCTCTCGAACTGGGGGGCATGACCTAGAGCCACATCGGGCCCTGTTGCCACGGGCGCCATGCCACATCTCTTCTTGGAGGGACGTCCCTGCCGCCACGCGGCTCGGTCCTGAAATCAAGGGTCCGCGCTCGCGTTGAGCGCCCACGCACACACACACACGGCGGCATGTTTGCCCCAATGAAAAATGTTACGTCTGCCCAACCGCTGTGCGAACCGCTGCTGGGAGCTCGCGTCAAGAACTAACGGCAAAAACACCTGCACTCCCTGGGAATATGTACGTGCGCAATTCACATATTGCGCCAAGTTCAATCTGCAACGTCGCCAGCATTCCCTCCGACCGTCTGCGCAAGTGCGCGGCACCACCTCGGCGGAACGAAAACGGGCGCAACCCCAAACGTCGCGCGCCCAGCCCGTCGAGCAGGCTGTCGAAGACCCATCCTGCAGTTCGCCACCGTGCCTTGGAGGATGTCTGGTCCCCTGGCCGGGATTTCCGGAGCAAGTGTTCCACAAAGCGCGCCGCCCCGACGTCTGGGATCATAACCGCTTGCTCCGCATAGCGGAGCAGCCCGTTCTTGGCAACGCGCAGCACTATCACCACGCTCGGGCGATCGAGGGGCACCTGCGCCGGCACGCGGCGCAACGACACAAGCTCGGTGGTGCGCAGGACGCCGCTGAAACCGATGACCGGTGCCGGCACCGCGGCGACGTCGCTCCTGCAGGACAACCGCGCTACGCAAGCCATGGCGAGCAGGATGAACGCCGTGGGCGGCACTTGATGCGGCAGCGCAAAAGAAGTCCCACGATGATTGCAAAATCTGACGGAGTTGAAGCAAACACTGGATCTCCGACGAAGTGTCCGCTGCCTCGTTCGCTCCTCGACCATCGGCCCAGATATATTCGACCAATTCTGCCACCTGGAAACTAACAAGTCAATGTTAGCGTTTGCCCGTTCCCCTCTCTCAAAAAGCCACTGCGAGAAGGTGACCACCGCCCTACGGCACCAGTGAAGAATCACTGGCGGAACTAAAGTGTGAAAGAAAAGACCGACTTGTCTTTGAGAGAGGCTACGGTCGTGGTGGTAAACCAACGCAGCAAAACTGCAAACGCGTTGGCCAATCATGGCACTCGCCATCCTTGATCCTGCAAGGCCAGGCTTCTGCACGAATCCTATCCGTCTCCGAGTAGCCGTAGATGGGCCTACACGGGCCGGCCAACACTAGCACGCGTATTCTCTTGACCACACTCAGCATACGAAAAGGGCGACTTCATCTTGTCATGACTCCGATACTTGGCTACCCATTCGGTGGGCAAAACGAATCCGACGATGCTACATTTGCCTTAGACGCCACTTCAGAGCCCAAAACAACATCGCACCTCCAGGTCCGTGACCCAGACATGCGACGTCCTGAATTTTTCAGGACGGCGTCCCTGAAGCCCCGACCCATTCCCTGGGACCTGTCCTTCATCCTGCGTCGGTGTGTTGACGGTCCCGAGGCCCGGCGAGGGCCCCCCGAGGCCGAAAATGGCCACAAACCTCCCGTCCTGAATCTTTCACGACGCGAACATGTCTGGGGATGCGCGGGACGCGCAAGCGCCTCGACGCCACGGCGAAAAATTGAGAATACTTGAGAAATTCTCCAACGAAATTCAAAAATAGTCAAAACAAATAATCCCCCGACAATTTTTTGGCTACCCTGTAGAGGGACAGGCCCGACGTGGCGCAAGCGCCACGACGCCACCGCGCGCCAAGTCCAGCGAGCCGCCGACGCCGGGCTCCCTGGCCAGGCTGAGTCGGGCACGTCCCCCTGCAGGCCGAATTTGGGCGAGAAAAATGAAGATAGTCAGAGAATGCCCCAACAGTGTTGAAAAGTGGTCAAAGAAATCGTCCCCAGGCCAAGTTTTTACCATGTTTGAATCTTCCCCCCGTAGAGGGACAGGACGACTCGAGGCGCCAGGCCCGAGGCGACGTGCCCTCTCCAGCGCGTCGAGCCCCGCGCCGCTGCCCCGCAGCCCCCCGCGCACCTGGCCAGCTCCTCTGCCTGCGTGGCGGACGGGTCGAGGGCGGCATCGCACTCCCGCAGTCCAGTCTCCCTGGCGTTACGTTTTTTTCCTCTGCGAGCCAGTGGGCAGGACCGAGGGCGGCGACAGTTAGCCGACATGCGCACACAGATGTGCGACAAACAAGACTGTGCTTGGATGACCTACTTGTTAGGTAAAGCACAGTCTTCTCACCGCTGGGCACTGTCGCCCACGGGAGAAAAGCCCCACACGAGCATGTGGGCGCAAACGGCCGCCACGCCGCGCATCAACACCCAGCCGCTTCGCGCCCCCTGCCAGCTGCCACCAGCAACCCACGCCCACAGTTGGGCCGCGCACGTCCAGCCAACAGTTAGGCACCAGGACATTGCCGCGAGAGCCGCTGGGGAAGCAAGCAGGATTCACGCCGCATTTAGGAATCGAAAGCATATGCATGGAGGCCAAAACGAGCTCACCGTTGAGCTATGAGCGGTATGCCTCGTGCTGCCCTAGCAGGCAACGCGAGAGAACACAAGAGCCAGCAGCGGCTGCAGCCTCACGCGCCTGCGCGCGAGGAACGCGCCTGCGCGCGCGGAGAGCGCACGCCAGGATGGAAAAAGACTCTACCTGTCCCGAACAGCAACGCTTAGCTTGAGACAGAGAAGCCAGCAGAGGCGGCAACAGTTTAGCCACAGATGAGGCACAACGAATGCCTTAGCCAGCGCTGGCATCCTTCGATGCCGCTTCACGGGCCTGCACTCTCGCAAGCAAAGCCGCCATCCTCTCGTTCTGAGGGAGGGCAGAGAGGCCTGAGCGTTGCTGCGACGACGCGGGCCTGGACGCATCCCCCTGTACGAGGACAGGCACGAGTGAAGCCCGGCGTCGATGCCCCGCCCTCGTCGAGAAACGCCCCTCGTCTTCGCCGTGCGCGCGGGCGTCGCCACCCATCCGCGCGCCGCCCTCCGCGACGAGACGCCTCTGGTGAGCGTCGTGCTCTCTCCGTCGTAGGGCGCCTCCCACAGGTGGACCGCGATCGCGGCCCGGTGCGCCGTCAGCCAGGCAGCCGCGCCACAAAGGAACTGAGTCGGGCGTGTCCCTCTCAGTTCCAGGAGGAAGATTCAAAAATAGTGGAAAAATAATCAGGGGAGGATTTTTGCATATTTTTTGATATTTGAATAGTTGTGTGATTTTTCAACTTTTCTTCCAAAATCCGCCTGTAGAGGGACACGCCCGACCTGGAACGAGTTGCCCAGCGGCGCGCGCCGGCACTGCTCGAGGACCTCCAGCCCCTTCCCCGCCCGAGTTGCGCGCCGTCGCCGTGCGACGCCAGAGGGAAGCGGGGCGGCCGCTCTGGACCCAGAGCGCCTCGCACCCGCGGCTGCCCGTCATCGCCGAAGATGGATTTTCTCGTCGCCGGCGCTGGTCGCCCTCGGGGGGCCTTGTTGTGGGGGTCATAAATGGGGGGGGGGTCAGAAATGGTCCCCCTTCGGGCTCCTTTCGGGCCCCTCTGGAGCCCCAGGGGGCTCGTTTAGGCACCGTTTGGATACCTTTTCGGACCACCCTCGCCCCCCCCCCCATCTATGACCCCCCCAGCACGCAACGCCCAACGGCCTTGGATTTGGGACCTGCTGGGCGCCAGAAACCATGTTCGCTGGGGCCCGCCGCCTGACTTTCCTAAACGACTCCTTCGGCGAGGCATCCGAGCCGCCCCAGGAGGCGCCGTCGCGAAGAGTCTGGCGATGCGTGAAGGGGGAAGGAACCTGGCGGAGCCGCGGACGCACTGCACCGACATCAAACCCATGCGACGATCAGGGCAGCCCAGGTCCAACCAAATTTCTCTCCTCCACCCTCGATCCATCCGATGTCGAGAGCTCCGCTGCGACGAACGGCGCCCGCGCCACCCCTGGAACCGCGCGCGGCGGGGTTGACCGCGGGAGACGGGGAGCCCAACGCAACGCCTGTGTTCTACGGAAGGGGGGGCTGAAGAGATTTACCCCCTGCGCGCGCTGTTCGCCTGGCTCTTGAGAATCGACGCTATTCGACGCTATTCGATGCTCATCGACATTCGTCGACGCTAGATCGACGCTGATCGACGCTACATCGGCACTTTCTCATCGCTTAGATGCTAGCGAACGCTAACGCACTCTGAAGGCAACTACGATTAGGTCGGGCGTGTCCCCCTACAGGGGGATTTTGGACGCCCCAAATCAAACTTACCAGAAACATCGTCCCCAGACTATCTTTTGACGATTTTGAAATATTCCTCCCGTCGAGGGACACGCCCGGCTTGAAACTACGAGGACACGCACGGCTCCCAATCAATGTCGGCGCCTCCTGAATGGGTGTGGTCTGCACGGGGTGTGGCTTGCAGCCCGAGCATCGGGGGGCAAACCGGATCCCAGCGTAGCCACACCCTTGTCGGGGGCGCGCGAACATGCCGACCAGCCACAACTGGGGGAGCTGTGGTCCTTACCCCCCTGGGGGAACCCATCGCATCGACGATCTCTCGAGAGGGGTGTCGGAATCGATGGGTCCCCCAGGGGGTAAGGACCACAGCTCCCCCAAGTGTGGCTGGCCTGGCATGGATTACCGATCCACGGGTTTGGGGCGCGGTCGCCAAGTCCATGGACCGGCGGAGGTCTCCTCTCCAAAGTGCGGCCGGTGCCGCCTCGTGCGGCAGCCGAAGTCGGCGGCTCCCAAGGGTGTGGTCTGCACGGGGCGTGGCTTGCAACCCGAGCAAGCCGAATCCCAGCATATCCTTAGGTCGGGCATGTCCTCCCGCAGTGGGATAATGGAAGAAAAAACAAAAAAGAAAAGCCAAAAGATGCTCAAACAAATGGTCCAAAATGGAAAAACATCGTCCCCATACTATTTTTGACTACTTCTGAATTTCCCCCCCGTAGAGGGACAGGCCCGACTTAACCCGAGCATTGGGGGGCAACCGAATCCCAGCGTAGCCACACCTTTGCTAGTTGCCAGGAAAAGATCCCATGATTGCTTGGACGCTCGAGACTTGAACGGAACAGTGGGCACGAAACCCAACGACGGATGCTGTCCCAAATAGACAGCGGCCGCTGTTGGGCACGCGGTTTTCTGTCTCGAGTGGACAACGTCCGCGGCGGCACCGACAACGAGCCCTGCTCAAAATGAGCAGGAACTGCTCTCGGCCTTCGTCATGTGTCTCTCCAAACTCATTTCGATCGCACCGAGATTTGCGAGCCTGGATCGGTGGCGAGCGAGTGGGGGGAGCTGAGAAGGAGAAGGCCTTCTCGCAAGGCGGGGGGACTTCTTAGAATAGAAGGAGAAACAAAAACATAAACATAAACTTTTGGCGCTCCGCGCGGACTTCTTGGATTCGCGCTGAACCCCCCTCCCTGACGCGCGGAGCGCGCCAAGGGCGGCGCTGGAGGCGCCGCCGTGGGGGCCAGGCGCGGATCCAAGAAATCCGCGCGGAGCGCCAAAAGTTCATGTTTAGGTGTATTTTTCTTCTTCGATTCTCAAAAGCCCTCCGGCCTTCCGAACGCCTCCTGCGCCTTCGGGGCAAGCTTAGAACAATGCTCCGAAGGCTGGGGGGCTTCCGAGAATGAAGGGGCCCTGGGATACACACACACACACATACACACGCACACACACGCACCTTCACACACACACACACACATACACACACGCACACACACACACACACACGCACCCACCCACGCACCCACGCACCCACGCACCCACGCACCCACGCACCCACCCACCCACCCACCCACCACCCACCCACACAAACACACACAACACACACACACACACACGCACACGCACACGCACACCACACGCACACGCACACGCACACGCGCACGCGCACGCACGCACGCACGCACGCACGCACGCACGCGCGCGCGCGCGCACGCACGCACGCACGCACGCACACACAGAGAAATTCACACACACACACACACACACACACACACACACACACACACACACACACACACACGTACACACACACACACATCCCAGGACTCCCCACACTTTCCCATATTTTCTGGGCTTTCGCCCTCCCCCCCAACTGTCCATATGTTCCCAGCACCCAGCCCCCACTCCCCCCCCTCCCCAGCACCAAACCCCCCCTCCCCCCCTTATATCGTAACGCCCGTTCCCCCCCCAGTGCGCTCCGGGGACTGCTGCCGTGCGCACGGCGGGGGGAGGCGTTGCATTATACCACCCCCCCCTGCCCCCCCCCCCCTATAATGCCCAGTATCGCCGAAAATAAAGAAACGCGCTCCTGCGTCTTCTTGGCAAACTTATAACACTGCTCAGAAGGCCTGGGGACTTCCGACAAGAACCCCCCGTTTGAGCAGGGACCGCCCGTCCCGGCATTCCTATAGGCCTACCACGACATGTTCTTCGGACCACAAAATGTTCTACTAACAAACATCGTATTCTTAGAACATAACCCGATGGGTTAAAACAAGACAGTCCCAGCCAGACATGTCCTAAGAACATTTCGTGGAAACCACAAAAGGATCGTAGAACACTGTTCGGTAGGCCTATAGGCACGCCAGGAGGTTTCGTCACTGCTTGACCCGTGGATCCGTCTCGCGGGGGGGGGGGAAGGAGGAGGAGGAGGAGGAGGAGGAGGAGGAGGAGCAGAAGGAGGAGGGGCAGGAGGAGTAGGAGGAGGAGGGAAGGAGGAAGAGGAGGAGGAGCCCTCCGTGGGCCCGCCTCGGCCTGCATGCGCTCTGGCAGGCTGGCCTCGAGGTCCTGGCACTCCCGCTGCACGGCGCAGCACCTGGGCGCGTGGCGCTTTCTGCCCGGCCCGGCGGCGCGCGCCCGAGCGGAGCACGCAGCCAGGAGCAGGAGGAGGAGGGAGGAGGAGGAGAAGGAGGAGACGAGGAGGAGGGAGGGAGGAGGGAGGATGGGAGGACGAGGAGGAGGAGGAGAAGGAGGAGGAGGAGGAGGGAGGAGAGGATGGAGAGGAGGAGGAGGAGGAAGAGGAGGAGGAGGAAGGAGGAGGAGGAGGAGGAGGAGGAGGAGGAGGAGGAGGAGGAGGAGGAGGAGGAGGAGGGAGGTAGGAGGAGGGAGAGGGGGGGAGGAGGGGTAGGAGAGGAGGAGGGGGAGGAGGAGGAGGAGGAAGGAGGGAGAGGAGGAGGAGGAGGAGGAGGAAGGAGGGGGGAGAAGAGGGGGGGGAGGAGGGAGGGGATGGGGGGAGGAGGAGGAGGAGGAGGAGGAGGAGGAGGAAGACGTTTGGGAGGATGGGGGGGAGAGAGGGGGGGGGAGAGAGGAGGATGGAGGAGACAGAGGGGTGGGGAGGAGGGAGGGGGGGGAGGACGAGGAGGGGTGAGGAGGAGGTACGAGGGTGGAGGAGGGAAGAGAAGGGCACAGAGCAAACCAAACTGCACGCCAGAACCCGAGCCGCACGCCCGATCCGAACCGCACCGAATCTCCCGAGCCGATCAATGTATAGCACAGTGTTACCAAGGCTGTGCCCGCCCGTCGGAAGAAGTGGGTCGAAGCATGACGCGAGTAGATTGGGCTCGGGTCCGCCAAAGTAATACCAACAAGCATCAGAACACATAGACTTCAAAACAGGTGGGCCCCCAGAGATGCCCACGTGCAACGACTTGCGTGCATGGCAATAGTGCGCCCGCCGCCGAGCGTTCTCCTCCTCCTCCCACGCCCACCCTCCTTCACTCCATCCATTCCTCATTCTCCTCCTCCTCCTCCTCTGCACTCCTCTGCACTCCTCCTCCTCATTCTCCTCCTCACTTTCCTCCTCCTCATTCTCCTCCTCCTCCTCCTCCTCCCTCCTCCTCCTCCTCCTCCTCCTTTGCACTCTGTGGGTCTCCAGGGACGCGCGCCGCCCCCTGGAGGGGGCGGACGCACGCTCAGCGCGCATGGTCGGGGGCGGCCGAGAGAAGTGCGTCCAAGAGAGGGCGGTGCGTCAGCTGGCGGCGCGCACAAGAGGGTGGAGGGAGGGGGCTCTTCCCTGTCTCCACATCTCCCTCTCCCCGTCCTCCTCCTCCTCCTCCTCCTCCTCCTCCTCCTCCTCCTCCTCCTCCTCCGATCCCCATCCTCCCCGAAGGAAGGAAGCTGCTTCTTAGAAGGCGCTGGCCTTACATCTGGGCCCGCGCCTCCTAAGAAGCAGGGGTGTTTCTGAGAAGCCGTCCCGCCTTCCCCCACCCACCTCTGCGCGTGGCTGACTCGGCCAGGTGGCTGGGAGGAGGGTGGAGGGGGAGGAGGGAGGAGGAGGCAGACGGAGGGAGGAGAAGGAGGAGAAGGAGCAGGAGGAGGAGGACGAGGAGGAGGAGGTGGAGGTTGGAAAATCATGGCTGGAGGCATGTGCGCGGACGGAGTTGGTCTCCCGCTCTTGCCGCCGGACAGCTACAGCGCCCAAACCGCCTCCTGGGCCGCCCGCGAGCGCGCGCGCGTGCGGACCTGCCTCTGCCGCGCTGCGGCGAGGAAGAAGTGCGCAGGCGGCCTGCCTCTGCCGCGCTCGGCGCGGGTCGAGGGTACGAAGACGGAGCATTTTCTTAGGGCGGAGGGCTCAGGGTGAAATCCATCGGGGCTCTTGCATCTCGAGAATGGATCCGTCTTGTCATTCGCCTTTTGCAGATTCAAGCCTCGAAAACCAATCGAAACGGCATTTCAGGTTTCACCCTTTGCCCTCCACCCAAAGAAAATGCTCAGGAAGAAATCCAGGGGGGATCTCGTGGCCCTGGCCATAATCGTCGCCCCCCTCGCGCACGCCCCCGATCGATGACTCCTGAGCGCGCGCGACGCCGCGAGGAAGAGGCGACGCCGGAGGCAACGGGGAAGAGAGAGGTGGGACTCCTCCCGTCGCAGCGCCACCGCATCGCATCGTAGACGCCAAAGCATCCGACGTCTCGATTCTTTCGGGTCGCGGGCCCCCGGCCTCCCGACAACTTCCCCCGGACCAGTTCGTCACTCCGAGTCCGTTCTTGATGATGCCAGGATTCTTGGGTTCAGACGCGGTCCGCGCTTCAGACCCCGCCCTCTGGGTGGATCGGGCCCTTCCTCTCGTAGCCGTCGTCTGCGTCTATTGAGGTCCACTTGGAGCCATCGCGGGGTCGCACTGGGATCGCGGGGTCACATTGGGTTCATACGGCAATGTCGCGTTCCCGCCGGAAGAGGAGGCGGAGGATGAGGAGGAGGAGGAGGAGAAGGAGGACGAGTAAGAGGAGAACGAGGAGAAAAAGGAAAACAAGAGAAGGAGGAGGCGGACGAGGAGGAGGAGGAGGCGGCGGCGGCGGAGGAGGATGCGAAGGACCGCTCGATGCTCAAGGGTGTGCAGGTATGCGTCGTGATTTGCGGAGCCTCGAATCGCGCCTCATCTGTGCCCCAGGTGAGGGCCTCGGGTTTGGCCCCGTTCCTCCTCCTCCTCCTCCTCCTCCTCCTCCTCCTGTCCCGCCTCCTCCTCCGTCTCCTCCGTCTCCTCCGCCTCCTCCGTCTTCTCCTCCTCCTCCTCCTCCTCCTCCTCCTCCTCCTCCCTTTTCCCGTCATCGGTGCACGGAATTTGCCTGCAACGCCCAGTCCCCCAGCTTCGCGCCCCAAACCGCACGTGTCTGCATGCTCGCTCACCACCCCATGTCCTCCTCCTTATCCCCCCCTTTTCCTGAAGGACGCGGTGGTGCACCTGTGGCTGCGCAGCGTTTATCACCGCCAGAAACTTTACCCCCATGTTGAATCAAGTATGTCCGCTCCCATCGTTGTCTTGCAACACCAAAAAAAAACTCCGACGGAAGGACCCCACATGATAATATGTTTAGTTTGCCCTTATCCTTTTCCTCCTCGCCCTGACGGACACTCTCTTCTCGCCCGCCCTTTTGCCCTCACCTACTCCCCCTCCTTCTATTTCTCCTCCTCCTCCTTCTCCACTTCCTCCTCATCATCACCCCCTCCCTACCCCTTCCCCGTCCTCGTCCTTCCCTTGCTTCTTCTCCGCGCGCTCCTCCCCTTCCCCCTGGTCGCGGCAAGCGAATCGATTTTCCTCGGCGCTGTCGCCGTCGCCGCCGGGGCCCCCGAACGTTCATCTTGGGGGGCCTCTTGAACCAGATCAGCCGCCTCTGAACCCGTCTTGACGCCCTCTTGGGTTGTTTTGGTGCAGAATGGGGAGCGTACTGAACCGTCTTACAACGTCGGCAAGCGGAACGAACAACAACAGGAAAATGCTTGAGAACCTCCTCCTCCGACGACGACTTGCGGCGACAATCACGCTCCTGGAACGCTCTCAGAAAACATGATAGTTGTGGCCGTGGAGCTTCCTTTCCTCAGACTGGCGACGACAGCACGTTTCCAGAAGAAAAATCGGGTAACATGATGGCTGCGGCCGAGTCGAGGCCCTCATAGAGGCCTCTGTAAGACCCTGCGGGGTGTCGAGGCTGATTTGGGGGCCGTCTTGGTGTTCCTTGGCACCCTTTCGAACGTTGTTTCGGGTGTCGAAGCTTATTGTTGGGGCCGCTTTAGGGCCTCTTGGGCGTGCTTGGCCGCCTCTTGGGCCACCTTGGCGCCTGGGGTGCTCCGGTGCAATCTGGGGAATATCTCGGGCAGTCTTGGAGCGTCCGCGAACGGAGTGAATGTTAATACTGGGAATGCTTGAGAACTTCCTGCTCTGGATGGGGAACAATGGAAATATCAGGTTCCCCGGAAGCTCCCTCTGCAGGGCACTGTCGGTGGGGGGGCCTTTGAGGCCTCCTCGGCCGCGTGTAGAACCCCTTTGGGGTGTCGAGGCTCGTGTTGCCGCCCTGTTGGAATGTGCTGGGGTTCGCGTATACGCCTCTTGTACCGTCTCCGACGCGTCGTGAAGCGTAGCAGGCGGCCAATGGGCAAACCTTGAAATCAAAGGGAGATCATGTTTGCTTGTCCTTACTGGAGTTCTCTCGGAGAGCAGTTCGGAGCCTCCTTAGGGCGTCCTGGACGCCGCGTAGGCAGCTCCTAAGCTGTGGTGGGCGTGCTAGGGCAATGTTGGGGCCCAGTGGGCCTCCTTCAGGGCCCTCTTGACGTATCCAGGCACATTTGGTGGGCTGCCTTGAAGCTACTTGGGCGCTTCTCGGGCCAATGTGGCGCCCTCTCGGGGGTTGCTAGGGCCCTCGTGAACACCTCGTGTACCGTCTCCGAGCGTCGGGGAGCGGAACAGGCGACAACGCGAAAATCGATGAAAAAACAACACAGGAAATGCAATGCTTGCCCATTGAAGCTGTTTCGGAATCAGATTGGAATCCTCTTGAGTCGCCTTGGATGCCTCGTCGACTGCATCAAAGCAATGGCGGGCGCTGCTGGGGTCGTGTTGGGGTCCCGTGGGCATCCCTTGGGCCTCTGCAGCCTTTGTGGCGTGTCCGAGCTTATTTGAACGGCCACCTGGAGCCATCTTGTGCGATCTCGTTTTTTAATTTAAGGAAACCAGAAGAAAAAACACTCTGACCTGCTCTGGCACAACCGTTAGTGAAGGGGCCCTGGGACACACATAAATATACACAGATCACAGGATTCCCCCCATGTCCCTCGTTTCCTGGGTTTTTGTCTTTCCCCCCACTTCCAATAATTTCCCACATTTTCTGGAGAATCGACGATTCATTGTGTCTGTGTGTTCTGTCCCCTCCTGAGTTATCCCCAGAGAGTGCGCGGCCAGCTCCGCGGGGGTCGGCCCAGCCTTTTGCCAGAGGAGCCCCCGCACGGCGCCCGCTGCCCGGAAAATGAAGCGCAGAGCGCGGCCGGGGCGCGCTCCAGCGACGACTTGCGCCTCCTCCTCCGCCTCCTCCGCCTCCCCCTCCTCCTCCTCCTCCTCCTCCTCCTCCTCCACCTCCTCCTCCCCTCCTCCTCCTCCTCCTCCTCCTCCGCCTCCTCCTCCGCCTCCGCCTCCTCATCCGCGTCTTCTCCTCCTCCTCCGTCTCCCCTCCTCCCCTCCTCCTCCGCCGCCCCCTCTCCTCCGCCTTCTGCCTTTCCTCCTCCTCCTCCTCCGTCGCCTCCTCCTCCCCTCCTCCTCGTCCGCCTCCTCCGCCTCCGCCTCCTCCTCCGCCCTCCTCCTCCTTCCCTCCTCCTCCGTCGCCTCCTCCTCCTCCTCCGCCTCCTCCTCCTCCTCCGCCTCCCTCCTCCTCCTCCTCCGCCTCCTTCCCCTCCTCCTCCTCCTCCTCCTCCTCCTCCTCCTCCTCCTCCTCCTCCTCCTCCTCCTCCTCCCCCCCCCCTGCGAGAGCACGATCCGCACGGGACCACGCAGTCCCCGCTGTCCGCCGCGCGCCCTCCAGGCGGGAAGGCCGCGGGCCAGCGGCTGCGGTAAAATCGCTCGGGAGCGGGGATGACGAGGGCACGAAGCTCTCCCATCTGCAAATAGCTTGGTTACTATTGTACAGCTGTGCTGCACCTACCCTTAATCATATTTTGCACTCGACACCTCCCGAACTGGTGAGGCCACCGGCTGAAAATCATGACGCAACAATATTAGCAACATTCCTGGCCCCAGATGAAGACGGAAGAAGAAGAGGACGAATAAGCTGAAGATGACGGTGGCGCAGGATGACGGAAGGGCGACGAGGTCATTATCGGTGAGGTGGTGTCGACGGCGACGACCGCCTCAGAACGGTGCAGTGAAGCTTGCATAATGTCGCCTAAAACGACATGCGCTGCGCAAGAATATTCAGCAATCTATGATGGCCTGGACGCTAGGCGCGAGGTTGCGGCTGTTGCATGACATGTGTCTTCAAACTGCGAAGTTGCTCCACCCGCATCCCTCTGACACCAGCGAATTCACCAACGCACGACCAATACATGTCATAAGAACTCTGAGCCCAGCTCCACTTCACGACTCCTGTAGAATGTTACATATATGTGCGTAGCACCTGGAATCAGGACCAAGGGCAAAGAAGAGGGACTAAAAGACCTATACACGGATTACTTTGTTTTCCTGCTACGTCGCCTGCTTGAAACATCATCCGCCAATCACACGCACCTCCTCCACCAACGATCGCCCTTCCACTTCCCCTCCCCTGCGCGCCCCTGCTGTTGAGAGCTCCTATCCGATGCGTCCAGATCCGCACAACGTGTAGCAACACTTCCTTGTGTCTCCGCCCACCAGGGCGCAAGCCAAGTGGTAACACACCATGGCGGCGCGCACCGAACGCTGGCTGAGCTGTGCGAGCGCGAGCGGGTCCAGCGAGGAGCCCGGCAAGGTGGACGAAGCGAGCGACACGGCCTCTCTACCGCAACGTTGTCTTCGCCACGCCAACCGTCATCAGCCCTCTCTCCGCCCTGCCTCGAGCGTACCTCTAGAGGCCTCATAGATGTGGTCGGAGTAAATGGGGTCGAAGGATCGCGCCGCATCGCCAATGCATCGCCGATGTATCGACGATGCATCGGTGACGTCGGCGATGCATCGGCGACGTCGGCGTGGAGAAAAACGGGCTCTACATCGAGCCGCGTCGTCGATGCAACGGCGGTGCGGCGCTATCCTCCGACCCCATTTACTCGGACCCCATCTAGGAAGCCTAGAATACCTCTCTCTCTTCCTTTGCCTGCACGCGTCCGGCGGGTCCAAGTGGCAAAACGCGCACTCGGCGCCGTTCGAGCAGCCCGGGGGCTCCCTCCACACGAACGCGCACGGGCTGATGGGCCTGTTTTCAACCACCACCACCATAAGCTGAAGGGGGGAAGGGGGCGGAGGACGAGGACGAGGAGAAGGAGGAGGAGGAGCACCCCCTCCTTCCCCTCAAGGAGGAGGAGGAGGAGAAGGAGGAGGAGGAGGAGGTGGAGGAGGGAGGAGGAGGAGGAGGAGGAGCAGGAGGAGGATGAGTAGGAGGAGGAGGAGGAGGAGGAGGAGGAGGAGGAGGAGGAGGAAGAAAGGAGGGGAGGAGGAGGAGGAGGAGGAGGAGGAGGAGGAGGAGGAGGAGGAGGAGGAGGAGGAGGGGGAGGACGAGGAAGATGAGGAGGAGGAGGAGGAGGAGGAGGAGGAAGACGAGGACGGGAGGAAGAGGAGGGGACGAGCAGGAGGAGGAAGAGGAGAAAACGAGGAGGAGGAGGAGGTGGATCATGTTTTTGGGCCCGCTGCATAGTGCTAGCAACTGGCAGCGCGGGACCTGCCAGCTTTGCACGTCCACAACCAAAGAGCCCCGTGAGGGGCAAGTGAAACGGGCTGTGCTGGGTGAGGCCTGCGCCCACACCCCGTGTTCCAAAGAAAAACACAGCAGCCGTTCTAAAACGCAAGGCTCCAAGACCACAGTCAGGGCTATGCCCCCGTGGCCACGCAGTGCTCCGTACAAATTACCAGGATTCAAGCCTGGACGCACCGTGCGATCGCGCAGCGGTGAAAGGCCAAATACCAAACAAGCCAACAACGAAAAACCCACCGAACCCCGAAAAAACACCACGGGGAAAGGCACCGACACGTGCAGCCAGGCCGCGCACACGAATATTCCAGAAAAGAGAGGAGCCCCCCCGAAAGCGCCAAGCACCGACGGGATCAAAAAGAAACAGGGTCCCGCGCGGCTAGCACGGCTGGCCTGGAATATCCAGGAGGGCACACACCCCAAAAGGGTGGAGCGCCGAGCCGCGCCAGGCCTTAAAGTGCGGCGGGGCAAACTTGGAGCCTCCATTCGGAGGGGTTGGGGGATGCACGACCGCACATGTTCTGTCGGTGCGTGAGCCACCGCTGCCACTTGGGCAGGTCTGCCCCCGTGCATTCCTCGAGCCAGCAAAATCTGCACACGAAGCCCTTGCCCGCACTGAGCGAGGCAAGACCCCGCCACTGGCCGTCCCATGTGCTCTTCTGGCACCTGAAGCAAGACGGCATCCATCCTTCGGGCATGAAGTTACGGCACGAAGGAGCGGCACAGTGGTACCTGCCCGATTTCGAATACAATCCGGGCCAGGATCTGCCCTTGCAGTTCGTGCAAACTGGGGGTGCACATCATCATCGCTGGGCCTCAACAGCCTCTTCGGGACCTGCCCCGTGGCACGTGCTGAGGCAAGCGTGCATTTGGCAGCGTGGGCGGCCGAGCGCTGCGACGGAGCAGGGCCGCTAGCTGCTGAGCCCCTCTCCTGCGCTAGCGCAGACACTTCTTCAGGAGACGTAGGCGGTGAGTGGCAGTCGCCGCAAACCGTGTACTCACACGTCTGGCAAAGTGATCGAGCCGCGCGGGAGACGATCGTTGCGCCACTCACAGACGAACCCCCCATTCGCCGTATGTAAAAGGATTAGTGAGTGGCCCACCGAACACGGGGCTTCCCCTGCGCGGGACTTTGCCTGAGGAGCCCTGCTGCGCTCCTTGGCGCGGCGGGCCTCAACCAGGCGTGTTGGCGGCAGGCCAGCAAGAAGACGGGCCACTGCTTCTTGCTTAACAGGCCGAGGAAACGTGAAGAAGTGACTCGACGGCGCTTCACCTCCTCGACAACTTCTTGAGCGCGGCGCAGCCCTTCCTTGGCGGACGTAACGAAACTACTGGGCTCCTCCCTTGGCGACAGTGAGCCACCGACGCTGCGGGAGGCCGAGCCTCCGCTGGAAGGGGGCGAGCTACTCGGCGAAGAGACTGACCTGGCGTGGCGAATATGTGCGTGGCAAATATGGGCACCTATTCCCCTACTGGGCTCAGGCCGCGCTCTCGAGCCAAGCTGGGGGAGGGCGAGGACTCGCAGGCCCCGGCTTAATATGGGCGCCTGAATCAGAAGCAATGCCAGCCGCGGTAGCGCGCATAAACTCAAGTACGCCTGGCCCCAAGATTGGCCGCCCAGGGTAGCCGATCCAAAGACAGAGACGCGACCCAGCAGGAACGACAACGCCATGGTCCAACCGTAGCCTGTCGGGCGGGCCAAGAACCCCGCCGAGGTCGCCAGGCGGCGGTGGGAAAAATGGGAACATTCCAACAGCCTTGTCGAACAAATCTGGGTAAATATGGCGGCCGACTGCATTGCATACTGCCTGAACTGTCGCGCCACCTGTATCGCGTGGAAAACGGTGCTAGGCGGCCGCCCGCTGAGGCACAACAACAGGAATACGATGTACAGGCAGCGGTACGCCCAAGTCGCGGAGCTCACGATGGGCGCCTTATTGTTTATCGTCACCGTCGCGACGCCGACGGCGGCCACGATCTTGTCCGACACCTTGCTCTTGAGGGGGTACTTCAGCTCTGGGGCGTCTGGCGCGCCCAGCAGGCCCGGCGGCAGATCCACCAGCACGACCCCATGAAGCGAAAGCGGGGCAGGGAAGGCGACGCTGTCCAGCACCACGTCCTGCCCGAAGCCGAAAAAGCACAGCGAGAAGGCCAGCCACGAGAGCCGAATATGGGGGCAACACACCAAAGACTGCCGTAGATGAATCATACGGAGAACGAGAAGTGGTGAGCCGCTCCTCGCCGAACGCTGCCGGTGCATTGTGATCAACGATCACCTTCGAGTCGACCACCAGGAAGAGCGCGAAAGCAAGGAGCACAGACATGACTGGCGTGCGGCAAAGGAGCTCACCCACCAAGCGGGGCGGGCGGAGCCCGAAGCGCTCAGTGACCGAGCACCCATGCGTTCGCCTCGGATGAGGCGCTCAATAAACCACAGCGGAACGCTGGTCCAGCCCAGGGGCACCCTGGACCCAGCAAAGGCTTGGGCCAGAGCGGTTCTTGAGCCAAATCGGCGACGGAGGAGGAGGAGGAGGAGGAGGAAGAGAGAGGAGGTGGAGATCGATCGCACACCATGGGCTCCATCCTGGACTTGCCTCATGCTCTGGGCAGGGCGAATGGCACAAAAGCGAGGGGCGGCAGGCGCCCAGCTCGTGCAGCAAGGACCCCGCGGACCACTGCCCGGGCGAAGGCCCCGCCGCGGCGGGCGCCTCGCGCTCGCCCGCGACCGGGCCTCCGCACGTCTCCGGCTCGGGCCGCTGCTGGTCTTAAGTCGTGCCTGTCCTCCTACAGGGGGGGATCTGGGGCGAAAAAATCAAGGGCAGCAGCGTGGAATAGGGATTCCCCGCTGCAATGTCCCGGCGGAGAACCCTGGGCCACGCGGGGGCTCGTCGTCGGGCCCTCCGCCAGTGGCTCCTCCTTCTTTTCCTTGTCGTCCCCCGCCCCCAATCGACCCCCTTGAAACCCTGCGGGGGGCAGTCCCACGAGCGTGGCCGAAATGTGGCTGAGGCAACTCCACTCGCCTGAACCCCCCCGGGAGAAACGATCAGAAGGGGGGTTGCACTCGAATGCGCGACGACCTTGCGCGGTGGCTCACGCAGGCCGCTCGCGCGGCAGACGCGCGAACTTACGAGGGCGGCATGCGCGCGAGTGCCCGCGCAATCGACCCCCTTGAAACCCTGCGGGGGCAGTCCCACGAGCGTGGCCGAGACGTGGCTGAGGCAATTCCACTCGCCTGACCCCCCAGGGAGAAACGATCAGAAGGGGGGTTGCACTCGATTGCGCGACGACCTTGCGCGGTGGATCACGCAAGCCGCTCGCGCGGCAGACCGCATTAAGGCGCCTACGCGCCACCTTCCGCGGGCAGCTTACGCACAAGTGTTACGCGCAATCGACCCCCTTGAAACCCTGCGGGTGCGCCCTCCCGCGGGCGCTTTGAAATGTGTCGCCCGGTTGCGGTTGCGGTTGCGGTTGCGCGCTCCCGCGGGCGCTTTGAAATGTGTCGCCCAGTTGCCGTTGCGGTTGCGGTTGCGCGCTCCCGCGGGCGCTTTGAAATGTGTCGCCCGGTTGCGGTTGCGGTTGCGCGCTCCCGCGGGCGCTTTGAAATGTGTCGCCCGGTTGCGGTTGCGGTTGCGCGCTCCCGCGGGCGCTTTGAAATGTGTCGCCCGGTTGCGGTTGCGGTTGCGAGCCCGCGGGCGCTTTGAAATGTGTCGCCCGGTTGCGGTCGCGGTTGCGGTTGCGCCCGCGGGCGCTTTGAAATGTGTCGCCCAGTTACGGTTGCGGTTGCGGTTGCGCGCTCCCGCGGGCGCTTTGAAATGTGTCGCCGGGTTGCGGCTGCGGTTGCGCGCCCGCGGGCGCTTTGAAATGTGTCGCCCGGTTGCGGTTGCGGTTGCGGTTGCGCGCTCCCGCGGGCGCTTTGAAATGTGTCGCCGGGTTGCGGTTGCGGTTGCGCGCTCCCGCGGGCGCTTTGAAATGTGTCGCCCGGTTGCGGTTGCGGTTGCGGTTGCGCGCTCCCGCGGGCGCTTTGAAATGTGTCGCCCGGGTTGCGGTTGCGGTTGCGCGCTCCGCGGGCGCTTTGAATGTGTCGGGCGCGGTTGCGCGCTTTTGAAAAATTGCGGTTGCGCGCCCGGGCGCTTTGAAATGTGTCGCCCGGTTGCGGTTGCGGTGCGGTTGCGCGCTCCCGCAGGCGCTTTGAAATGTGTCGCCCGGTTGCGGTTGCGGTTGCGCGCTCCCGCGGGCGCTTTGAAATGTGTCGCCCGGTTGCGGTTGCGGTTGCGGTTGCGCGCTCCCGCGGGCGCTTTGAAATGTGTCGCCCGGTTGGGTTGCGGTTGCCGCCGCCGGGTTGCGCTCCCGCGGGCGGTTTGAAATGTGTCTCCCGAGCTGTCCCCTGACGTTCAGTCAGTCATCAGTCAGCCGGCGGGCACGGAATTTCACCCGGCTCCGCCGGGAAAACCGCCAAACAATGCTCAAACATGATCAAACATAGGCAGCAAGTCGTCCCCAGACTATGTTCTGACTACTTGTGTGGACGCTCCTCCTGTGGAGGGACAGGCCCGACTTGATGCTGGTCGCCCGAACCACGGGCTCGCCGAGGTTCTGCGGCGCGCGGGCCGTCCGGCTCCGAGCTGTTCCCCGCCCTCCGCGCGTAGCGCGGGGCACTGAGCGGCGGTCGCCGCCCGAGGCCCCCCGGGACGCCGAGGCCCCCCTGGCCGCCGACCTCCCTCGCCGCGGCTGCTGGGCGCCCCTGGCCGCCGCCCGCCCGCGCCGCGGCTGGCGGAGGAGCGCCGATCGGCCCCACAGTCCTGCCCACAGCGGAGCCCCAGGCCGCGCGCTGGTCTGGCGTTAAGTCGGGCGTGTCCCCCTACAGGCGGATTTTTGACGAAAACTAGAAAGTAATCGACAAATGCTCAGTGAAATGGGTTGTTCTTCTCGTCCGTGCCTCCTTCCCTTTCTCACCTTCTCCGTCTCCTTCTCGTTCGTCTCCCCCTCCTCCTCCTTCTCCTCCTTCTACTCCTCCTCGTCCTTCATCTCTTCCTCCTGCGTAAAGTACATTGACTCCAACTGTTTCCCCTTCCCTTTGTTCCCTTCCCCGGCCGGGGGGGGGGTCCCGGGGGAAGCCCGGGGGAAGCCCGGGGGGGGTCCTGGAGGGGGTCCCTGGGGGGGTCCTGGGGGGGGTCCCAGGTCAGACCTCCCTCCTCCTCCTCGTGAGCGTCTATTGCCACCTTCTCCATCTCCTTTTCGTTTGTCTCCTCCTCCTCCTCCTCCTCCTCCTCCTCCTCCTCCTCCCTCCTCCTCCCCCTCCCCCCTCCCCCTCCCCCCTCCCCCTCCTCCTCCTCCTCCTCCTCCTCCTCGTCCTCGTCCTCCTCCTCCTCCTCCTCCTCCTCCTCCTCCTCCTCCTCACACACTTCCTTCGCCTACCCTGTCACGTTGTCCTTTAGCTTCATCCTGTGATCACACATCCCGTCGCCATCGACGGCCAAAACCTTCAGGGTCGGCGGCACCGGCCGTAAGGCCTTCACAATACAAGGTAATCGAAAAATGCTCAGAAGTAGCAAGCCGTAGAAAAACAAATCGCCCCCAGCCTAGTTTTCAACAATGTTTGAATAGTCCTCCTGTAGAGGGAGAGGCCCGACTTAAGTCTGGCGGTGCCCGCGGCCTCCTTGCGGTGGACATGGCGGGCACGCCTGGCGTGGCCAACGGCCGACCCGCTCGACAAAATGACCGGTAGCTGCTTGAGCCAAAATGGCAACCGAAATGAGCCCTCTTGGGCGATCTTGAACGCTTCTTGACCCGGTTTGTTGGTCATAGTCCGAGTAGCAGACCGATTTCAGGCTTCTCGATTCTCTAGACTGACGCTTCCGATGCTGCTGCACCTATTGGTCCACATGAACCCGCTGCAGCTGCTCTAAATCTCGAGATCAAGTCGAAAAACTGGATACGCGCCCCAAAAAGTTACAGAGTTCGAGTAGTTGAACCCCTCCTGGGATGTCTTGGGGCGTCTCTTGTGCCGTCTCCGGGCGTCGGGCGGCGGAGCAGGCCGCCACGCGAAAAGAACCTTGAAAAACCAGAGGGGAGTCAATGATTTCTGCCCCTGGATCCTCTCCCCGGGACCAACTGGATGCTCTTTGCGGGCGTCTTGGAGGCCGCGTGAGCCGTCTCGAAACGATGGTCGGAGGGATGGGAGCGTTGTGGCGCCCTCTCGCCCCCTTGGGGGCCCTCTTTGGTGGCCTCAGGGGCCCTTTGGAAGCCTCTTTGGCGGGTCCAGGCTTGTTTGTCCCCGCATGCCACACTGAGAAAACGGTCCGCCCCCCCCAGCCTGTTCATATATATATATATATATAGATGCATCGATATAACATATATTCAGATGTATGTATATATATATAGATATATATATATATATATATGTACGTATGCATCTACATGTATAGCTATATGTGTACATCAGATATACATGCATGCACATGCACGCATCCATACATAATTGCATGTATGCGTATAGGCGTACATGAATCTATGCGTATATGCATACGTACATACATACATACGTGCCTGCATGCATTACTACAACATGCATACGTGCATACATACAGACATGCATGTATGCATGGACGCGCACACACACACCTACATACATACATTCATACATGCATAGGCACACCCTTACATCATGCATAGCAGACATGTGCCCCGTACGTACGTACCTGCGTACGTGCCCTCCTACTTGATCGACGTGTATACATACATACATATGCATACATGTATGCACGCACAGGTACATGCATGCATACAAATAAGCATACACACGTACACGCGTGGATACAAACTTACATGCATTACTACACGCACGCATTTCAACATACACGCCTACATGGAACCACACATGCATGGATGACTACACACACATGCATGTATACACGCGTACATACATGCACATCCATGCATACGCACGTGTATATGTAATATATAAGTCTATATGTGTGGACATACCTAAAGTTACATGCACACATGCATACATACACGTATACATACGTCAACTCACACCCATATGTGTTATATGATGTTAAAGTGTCCAACGTGTTATAATGCATGATTTCATGGTGTAGTATAATGTGGGTCCCTGAGGGTCCGCGCCCTCCGCCTCTACACATATATATATATGTATTCAAACATACACACATACAACTATACAAGCATACGCACATGCATACGTACACAAGTACACACATCCACACATATACACAAATACATACATATGTCTATATACGTACAGACAGGCAGACAGCCAAACCGGCATGCATGTACATACATAGATGTGCATGTGCACATGTGTACAAATGCTAGAACCTCTGCGCGCGCTTCGCGCGCGCGCTCAGGTTCTCCGGGATCACAGCTCGCAATGAGACGCCGAGGGCTGGGCGACGGTTGCGGATCTAATGTCAGCCCGAATGCGCCGCGGAAGCATGTAAGGAAGAGCCCTTTCATGTGCACGGGGGATTCCAGGAGGACGACGAAGAGAACGTGGGGGAGCGGTTTGGATGTCGAGAAAGGGGAGAGGAGTCCAGGAGCATGACGGCGGCGAAAACGAGGGCAGAACGGGAAGGTGGTGCAGGAGCAGAAGGAGAAGTGGAATCCTTGAAGACAAGCAGCAGGAGGAATCTACAAAGGGGAAAGGCATCCGTGCCCCTCGTCCACGTGTGCCCCTCCTGGTGGCCTTCTGCACATCATGCCACCGAGCCTGGGCTGTTAGTGTGAGACTTTGTGAATGCCTGTTCGTGGCTCTGGGGGAACCTCTGGGCAGCCTGTTGGGAACAATGGTGAAGCCTCTTGGGGCGCTTTTCGGGGCCTCTTGTGGCCCTCTTGGGTGCTCTCCGGGGTGGGATCCTTGGGGGCATGCTGGTGATCTTCGGGGTCCTCGTAGGGCCGAGGCCTCGAAATATGGGTTCGCAATCCCCCCCCCCTCCCCCCCCGCGAAACACTCGTGGGCTTTCTTTGGCGGTCCTGGGTGCCTCTTAGGCCGTCTTGGGGCCCTCTTGGGCCGTCTAGGGGCCCTCTGAGGGACCTCTCCGGACGTTGGGAGGCTCTCCTAGGGGCCTACGGGCCCGTCTTGGACGCTGGGCACATGAAAACAACGATTGCGGTAGAAATGTACGTTTTCCCACGGGAAGAGGGCGATTTTGCCTCTTCGGTGGGGGTTCTCTCGAGGGTCCTTTTGGAGCCGTCTTGGGGCATCCTGGGGGCCTGCTGGCGATCGTCGGGGTCCTCCTAGGGCGGAGGCGTCGAAATGAAGGTTCTGATGGGCAAATTTTCCACCACCACTACCATATGTAGGAGAGGTAGGAGGAGGAGGAGGAGGAGGAGGAGGAGGAGGAGGAGGAGGAGGAGGAAGAGGAGGAGGAAGAGGAGGACGAGGAGGAGGAGGACCTCCTCATCCTGCCTTCCCCCCCGCCCTACATATGGTAGTGGTGGTGGAAAAATTTGCCCATCAGGTTCGAATCCCCCCCGCGGGGTCCCTGTTGGCGCTCTCTTCGGCCGCCGTGGGCGGTCCCGGGGCGCCTCTTAGGCCGTCCGTCTCCCCCAGGGCGCAGGTGCCCATGGCGTGCGCGCGAAGGCCAGCTCATCATTCCTCTACACTGTACACGGCTGGCCCCCACGGTATCCTGCCATTACTATATATATATATATATATATATATATATATATATGTATATATAAATAAATAAATAAATACATAAAAACTACAAGAAAGCGTGTTATCGAAATCGCAATCGTTAACCTTAAAAGCGGAATCAAGGGCGAAGACATCTGTCGTTGCGCACGTGTACTGCGTGGGTCCCTGTTGGCCCGTCATGGGGAGCTGAACCCGTCCTGTGGCCCTCTTGGGGCCCTCTCCGACCATGTAGGGATTCTCCAGAGTTGCCCCCCCGGGCCCCCTGGGGACTCTTTTGGGCCGTCTTGGGGCTCTCGTGTGCTGTTCGAAGGTCTCTTCAGGCCGCCTTTGGGCCCTCTTGGGCCGTCTGGGGCCGATTTGGGGAGCCTTTGTGGCCGTCGTGGCCGTTGTAAGACATGAAAACGCGAACGCCTCCAGAAATATACGCATTTCCGTCGGAAATGCTTGATTTTTGCCTTCGGGGGGTCCCCCGTGGCCAGCCATTTGGAGCTGAGCCCGTCTTGGGGCCCTCTCGGGGCCCTCTCCGGCCATGTCGGGATGGATCCTCCGGTGGCCCCCTCGCGCTCCTTGGGGACTGTCTTGGGCCGTCTTGGGGCTCTCTTGTGCTGCTTGATGCTCTCTTCGGGCCGCCTTGGGAATCTCCTGGGGGTATCGGGCCATCTGGGAAAAAATTGGGAAACCTTTGGGGCCTTCGTGGCCGCTGTTGGGCTTAAAAAACGAGCATCCAGGAAATATGCGTTTTTTGTCCGTCGGGGATGCTTGATGTTTGCCCTTGGGGGGCCTTCCCGGCGGCCTCTTGGACATCTCAGTGCGCTCTGCAGCCATCTTCCAGACAACCTGGAGCGCATCGGGAGCCTCTTGGGCCAGCTGCACATGCAAGTGTAATTGCAAGTGCAAGTGTGAGTTTGAGTGTGAGTGCAAGTGTGAGTGTTAATATAAGTGTGAAATGTAAGTGTAAGTGTACGTGTGTGTGCGTGTGCGTGTAAGTGTGTGTGTGTGTGTGTGTGTGTTGATAGGGGGTGCGCGTGTGTGCGTGCGCGCGTGCGTCCGTACATGTGTGTGCGTGTACGTGACTGCTTGCGTGTTTGCGTGCGTGCGTGCGTGCGCGCGCGTGCGCGTGCGCGTGCGCGTGCGCGTGCGCGTGCGCGTGCGCGTGCGCGTGCGCGTGCGCGTGCGCGTGTGTGTGTGTGTGTGTGTGTGTGTGTTTGTGTGTGTGTGTGTGTGTGCGTGTGTGCGTGCGTGCCCGTGTGTGTGCGTGCGTGCGTGCGTGCGTGCGTGTGTGTATGTGTTTGCTGCGCGGGCGCTGGCGACGTCGGCGGGGCACGACGAACGACGACGAACGAGTGCAAACTACATGTCGGCCAGGGGGGGGTGCTGCGCGGGCGCCCGCCGGCGACGCGACGGACGCGGGGCACGACGAGCGAACGCAGGAGAGTCGATGTTGGTCCTGGGTGGGTGGGTGGGGGGATCGGGGTGTGGGCGGGGGGCTGCGCGGGCGCCGGCGACGAACGCGGGGCACGACGACGATTAGGTCGGGCGTGTCCCCCTACAGACCAACTTTGAGGGACAAAAATTAAGAATACTTCAAACATGCTCCAAAATGGTATCAAAAATCAAAACATCGTCTCCAGAATATTGTGTTACTATTTTTGAATATGCCTCCTGTAGAAGGACAGGCCCGACTAGACACGACGACCGACGAACGAGTGCATAGTAAATGTCATCCGAATGGTTGGCCCCGCGGGCGACGGCAGCGCGAAGCTGCGGCGGGGGGCACGACGACGAACGGCGAACGAGTGCCGAGCGACTTTCGGCGCCGGGGGTGGGGGGGAGGGGCGCTGCGTGGGAGCCGCGGAGCTGGAAACGAGGAAGCAGAGAAGAGGACAGGACAGGACAGGACAGGACATCCGCATAAAAGGGGGTCACGGTCAACACTTACAAAGGTGGCGCGCGCGCGACTGGCAAAACCACCTGCGATTATGTTGTGCAACAGCCCTGACTTCTCACAAGGGCCCGCAAAGGGCATACCCCGAAGCTTCAAAAGCCGAGCTCCGAGGTGGCCCCGTGAGAGAGGCTCGCTACCTTGTGAGTACGAGTCCCTGCGGGTCAGTGCGGGGGGAGCAGCTGCTGGCCCTCGCAGAGAAGAGGAAGAGGAGGAGGAGGAGGAGGAGAAGGAGGAGGAGGAGGAGGAGGAGGAGTGAACGAAAGGAAGCCTAGGGCCACGACTGCGGCGCAAATGAGGCGCACTTCGAAGCTCCGCGAATCACGGCGCAAACCTGCTCACCCCCGGACATCGAGCGACCTGGCGGCAGCGCTGTGGCGACCCGGGTCCACTGTGACTGCAAGTTGACCCTGCGATCCCAAAGCGACCCAGCGACGGCTTCAACTTGACCCCCACAGGCGACGGCTGACGGCTAAGACAGCGGGGTACCGGTCCACGCAGAGGGCGGAGTCTGAGGCGCAGACACAGTCTGACCCCACCGATCCTGGCATACGGTCCCGAGGCCCAGGAAGGGCCCCGAAGGGCTGAAAAGTACGAGGAATCACCGTGCCGATTCTTTCGAGACGCGGTATGTGTGGGAAGATGCTTGGGTGATGCCGGCCTGGCGTCGAGACTCTCGCACTCGTCCTGGAGTGCCGCGATGTAACCGTCCTTCTCGGCCACCGTGCACCTCAACACCGCCACCTGCAGGCTCCACGGAAATCGCTAGAAGCGGCCCCTATGAGAAGGAAACGTGAGCCTCCAGCACGGTTCGCTCCCTAACCCTACAATCGACATCCATAATATGGGCGCAAGGTAAGGATGCAATACGCTTGAAGGGAGTCCCACTTACCATGTGGAGCTTCCTGGATGTCAACATTGGCTCAGGAAGGGCCGAATAAGCAGGGATGCAAAGGTAGCCTTGATATGAAGCAGCGCATCCTTACTATAGATGTTGACTCTACCCTGGGGTGAACGACCCCCCCTACGGACCCCAGATGGATATGTGGCCTGCAACTACCGCGAAAGGGAGCTGGCGGCGGCGTCGCCCCGAGTGGGGCAATGGACATTGCAGAGAAGCAAATCACAAGCGACCCACCCCTGCCGTCTCGGGCTCTGGGCACTCAGACATCCGAGGATCTGATTTGTTTGAAAGAGGCCTCCCAGATGGGGTCGGCTGGATGGTGTTGGAGGATGGCGCCGCATCGCCGATGCATCAGCAATGCAATGGCGACGTTGGCGATGCATCGCCGACGTCGGCGTGGAGGAAATTTTTGCCCCACACCGAGCCGCATCGCCGATACATCGGAGATACGGCGCGATCCTCAGACCCCATCTACTCCGACTCGATTTAAGTCGGGCGTGTCCCCCTACCAGGGGGATTATGGGCGAAGAATGAAAAGTACTCGCGAAATACCCCCCAAATGGGCAAGAATAGTCAAAACATTGTCCCGAAACTATTGTTTGACTATTTTTGGATATTCCTCCTGTAAAAGGGACAGGCCCGGCTTTAGCCTGGATTCCGTGTGCCGCCCAGGTGGTCCGTCCCGACCGTCCCTCCGGAACGGCGCTTCGTGCCGGACCCGTTCTTGGAGGTTGCCTGCCCGATTCGGGTGTCGCTCAATGGGTGGCCATAGTGTTAAGTCGGGCGTGTCCCTCCACAGTAGGAATATTCACAAATAGTGAGAAAATAGTCTGGGGACGATTTGTTTTAACTATATTTGACAATTTTGGGTGTATTATTGCACTATTTTATATTTTCGTCCAGTAGGGGGACATGTCCGACCTAATGATAGTGTAGGGGGAGAAAGGTGCACTTTTCAGGCCCTGGAGGCCCCCTTTTGGGACCTAAAGGGCGCCTTCAGGGCCTTTTTTCTACAGCCCTCGCTGCCCCCCAAATTGATCGCCCCCCCAATACGCGACGCCCAGCCGATTTGACGAGCCCCGAGGCCCAAGAACGAGGAGAAGCGCCAGGATTGAACAAACCATCGCAAGCGATTTCTCTTCCCCAATCCCCGAGAACCGCCCCGCTCAGAATATGAGGCGAACCCCTGGGATACACACCAATGGGGCTATTCGGACCCACCCCTATCGAGGATGGACGGCCCCCCCCACCGTATATCCTAGGGTTCGGCCCCAGATAGCTGGCCCATGCGAAATGCCCACGAAGCCAGGGATAGGAGTCGACAGATGCCCTCTTAAACCAGGGTCGTCGGAGATACGGGCAGGCAGCCCCCAAGTTGGGCGCAAATTTTAGGTCGGGCGTGTCCCTCTACAGGCAGATGTTGGAGGACATATGAAACAAATGCCCAAAACATAAGGGACTATTGTCAAACCAATTAAAAAAATCGCCCCCACACTATTTAATGCCATTTTTGCATGTTCCTCCTGTAGAAAGGCGTGCCCGACTTAACGCTCGCGTGGATTCTTTTTAATCTTCATTCCCGGCCAAGAAACTATCCGCGCGAAATTCACCTCGAAATCCGGAACGACATTCTCCAGGACACTCCGGGACCACCTTATATCGTTCTCTTAACGACATCCGCTCTGCGATGCTGGCGCAATGACACATATTGACTACCTACCAGACCACCCCAACCCAACCCGAAGGCCCGAATTTCGGGTTGGGGGGGGTAAGGGTTCCAAACGTGTTTTTTCGATGTTCCCCGACCCCCCCCAACTGGAAATTGAGGGCAGATTGAGGCCTTCGGGTTGGGTTGGGGTGGTTTGGTGGGTGGTGACATATGTCCTGGTAAACAAGGTCGTCGGAGATCCGGGCAGGCAGCCCCCGAGTTGGGCGCAAGTTCGGCGAGCCTGGCGCCTGCTGAGCGTGCTCCTCCGCTCGCCGGGCCGCGTCCTCGGACACCGCGGACACCTGCGGGCCGGTGCCGAAGGTACAGGTCCAAAAAGTTACCGCCATGATAACCACCCCGACACGCGAAGTCGTATCGTGAACGCGCCCAAAGAAGGAGTCAAACAGGGCAGGGCAAATTAGTAAACGCCCACGGATATGTTGTTCCCGCCGTGCTTTAAGGACCACATCCCCCCAACAAAAATCGAGTATCCGGAAAAGTGTCGAATGAATATCAAAACAGTGTCGGACGAGTGTCTCCCAGGGCTCGACACGTGAAAACACTTGCATTTCGGTACTTTTTGGTGTTCGAAACTCTTTCTGGTGATCAAGGCTAAAGTAGGTTGGAACATTATAAGCCCAGGGCCGTTGAGAGCCGAATTATGGCCAAAAAGACAACAGGCGTCGGAAATGGGGCGGGCCTTCTCAGAAGGCTCAAAAGGCCTCCAGCCTTCTGAACAACTTTCTGCGCCTTCTCCGAAGCCATAGACGGCTCCTCCGAAGGCCAGAGGGCTTCTGAGGAACCCCGTCGCCGTCTGAGGAGGGCCGCCCACTCTCATTTTCCGCACAAGGCGCGCTGCCGAAAATAGCATCCGACTTGCCCCCAAACAGCGCCGATCCAAGAAATATTCACAGACCTCGGCAATTGAAAGCTCCCGTGGAATCTTCTAAAAGAACAAGCGCGGGGGGGGAACGCCAGGAAGGGCCGCCGTTGTCGCCTGGCCCTCCTCCGACTCTCCCACCACGGCAGGACGAGCCAACATCGAGTCGGAAATCGGATCGAATCGGGACGTGCGTCGAATCGGACCGCCATCGCCACGGGTTCGAAATGGTCTCGGATCGGCCGAGCCAAGATGCACAACAGCGGTATGCAGCCATCGGGCCGCAACGGTTCGTCGAAAAAACTGGACTCCCACCGGACCGGGCCAACCGAAGCCGACATCGAATCCGATCGATCGGATCGAAACGAACCCGGATCGCGAGAGGCGGGGCGTCGGGGCTGGAGCACGGGCTGGATACCCACTCGACAGGGTGCAATCAGGGGTGGAATTAGGGGGTGGCATCAGTCGGGGATGGACAGACCCCCCTTTAGTAAAACGTGGTTTAGTGAAAACGACCTGAGGCCCAAACCTGGCGGGCGCAAGCCTGGAAAATAACGGCCGCGGCGCCCTCTCGAGAACCGAAAACGGACAATTCACTAATCGACGTGTCACTGTTGGGGGTTCTGTCCACCCCCGATCGACAGGGTGCAATCAGGGGTGGAATCAGGGGGTGGCATCAGGGGGGGGGGCGTCGACTCCATAGGGGGCATCGGCGAGGTGCATCAACTCGACAGGGTGCAATCAGAAGTGGAAGCAGGGGGTGGCATCAGGGGGGGGCGTCGACTCGACAGGCGGCATCGGCGAGGTGCATCAACTCGACAGGGGGGCCATCAGGGAGGGGGCATCAACTCGACGGGGGGAGAGTGGACCGCCAGAGCGCCTCCCACACACCCCTGGAAGGGATGGTCGTTGTCTGACCTGCACGGTTTCCCCCGGGGCCGTATGCGACCCGAGGAGGGGGAGGAGGAGGAGGAGGAGGAGGAGGAGGAGGAGGAGGAGGAGGAGGAGGAGGAGGAGGAGGAGGAGGAGGAGGAGGAGGAGGAGGAGGACGGGTCGCCTAAGTCCTTCGGAGAAACCCTCCAGTCTGACCCACAGGCACACTCAACTGATCGTGTCCCCGGTGACTCTGCAGTAGGGCCACAACTCGGGGCTCCTGCGGCCGCTCGGGACGACTCGGGAGGTCCTGGAGCGCCCTCGGCGAGGGGCAGCTGCTGGAGAGGCCCTGCGAGGCAACGAACACCTCCGGGAAGCGCCGAAGACGACGGAAAGCCCGCCCGAGCCTGGAGCCTTGAACCAGCGGCCCCGCGACCCCCGAAACCCAACGTCGTGACTTGTTCACAACGTGGACCCCTCCGGCGAGACTCCACCTCTTTTCCTTGGCGCGAGATCGGCCAGTCGCCGCCCCCGAGGGAAGGCCTCAAGGCGCTTGAGCAACCGCCGTAGCGAATAGTTGTCCACTCCATCCTGAAGCCCACTGCCACAGAGATGTTCCGACGCTCTCTGTCAATAGTGTACTGTTGCAGACTTGTCGAAATCAGCGAAAAAGGGATTGCTAGTTCATGCTCGCATGAGCTTCGCATGAATTTCGCCGTGGTTTTCTCACAGCTTGGCATTCGCCTGGACCGCCCCCGAAAGGAGACCACAAAAGCATCACGTGCGAGATGATGACGTGCATACAACGTTGCGACAGCAATCTTTTGTAAGGCAGCCATGCTGCGTTAGGCAAGCGGCCGCTCTGGGGACACTCGTACTTTGAGCTTGGCGTGCGTCCGGGGTCGACACAAGCTTGTCGTCGGCTTCAGAGCCTTTGCATGGTCGGCGGCGCGCAGGAGGGGGTATCGCTATCGCGAGGTGGGTAAAGAGCCTCCCAGATCTCCGACTCCGTGACTTGCTAGCAAGATCGCCCCCCAAAATATCTGGACTCCTTCTCCGTAACAACTGTTTCACCCCATGTCGCTTTTTGACGGCCCGAGGGCAGGTAAGGGCCCCAGGCCGAAAATTGCCCAAAACTTTCCGCCGTAAGTTTGGATTTCGGGTCGTAACGCGGGCCTCTGGCAGCCGTCCGGGACGATCCAGGCACCCCTGGAACGCCCTCGGCGAGGCGCAGTCGCTGGAAGGCATCCCAAGGCTGGAAAACCGACGAAGACGCCTAGACGCCTTGAACCTCGAACAACGAGAGCCAGAGGGGGACATCGATATCGAATTCGTCGCCGTCGCCGTCGCCGTCGTGGTCGTCGTCGACGTCGTCGTGGTGGTCGTCGTCGTCGTCACTACTTCGTCGTCGTCGTCGCCGTCGTCGTGGTCGTCGTCGTGGTCGTCGTCGTCGTCGTCGTGGTCGTGGTCGTGGTCGTGGTCGCGGTCGTGGTCGTCGTCGTCGTCGTCCTCGTCGTCGTGTTTGTCGTCATCGTCGTCGTGGTCGTCGTCGTCGTTGTGGTCGTCGTCGTCGTCGTCGTCGTCGCGTTTGTCGTCGTCGTCGTCGTCCCCGTTTGGGGTCGGCGACACTGGCCGTCAGGCCTTTGCATTAGGTCGGCCCTGTCCTCCTGCAGGCGCGTTCTGAGCGAAAAATTATCAATACCAACAAATATGCTCCAAAAGTGCTCCAAACATATCCAATAAATCGTCCCCATAATATGTTTTGACTGTTTCTGAATATTCCTCCTGTAGAGGGACAGGCCCGACTCAGTCTTTGCCATCGATGCCGAAGCGGATCGATGGGACCGAAGCGGACCCCGCCGCGGCCCGCCTCGGCGCACCTGGCCTCCAGCTCGCGGGCCTGCGCCTCCCGAGCAGGGGACCGACTGCAGAATTAATAAACCTCCCTCCTCCCTCCTCCCTCCTCCCTCCTCCCTGCTCCCTGCTCCCTGCTCCCTCCTCCCTGCTCCCTCCTCCCTCCTCCTCCACCTCTTCCTCCTCCTCCTCCTCCTCCCCACAATTGGTTTCCCTGGTCGATTCTGCGAAAATTGCATCGAATCGTCCGCAGACCTAAGGGACTGTCCACGTACTTGTCTTGTGCTGCTCCCGTCGTACTTAAAGACCACATCCCAGAAATAATTTCGAGCACCCAGAGAAATGCCGAAAGAGTGTCAAAACAGTGTCGGACGAGTGTCTCCCAGGACCCGCCACGTGAGAACCCTCGAGTTTCGGTGCTTTCTTGGTGCTCGAAATTATTCCGGGTGATCCGGGCCAAAGTAGGTTGGAACATCAAGCCCCAAACTTGGTTTCCGCAGACCTACGGGACTGTCTACGCACTTGTCGTAGATTTAGGTCGGGCATGTCCCCCCACAGGCGGATTTTGGACGATTTTGCATATAAGAAACTAAAGAACATGCAACAATAAAAAAAGGTGGTAGAAAATCGTCTCTGGACTGTTCTGTTGACTATTCCTCCTGTAGGGGGACAGGCCTGACTTCATCGCAGATCCGATCTGGAGCTCAATCTCGGGGCACATCAATTCTAGGGGAACACACAGTGACATAAACATAACAACTCGGAGGTCCGCGCGGATTTCTCGGATCCGCGCTGGACCCCCCTCCCTGGCGCGCGGAGCGCGCCAGGGGCGGCGCCGGAGGCGCCGCCGGGGGGGCCCAGCGCCGATCCGCTCGGACGTCTATTGCTTCCTCGGACGTCTATTGCCTGTGTTTTTTTCGGTTTCGCCTAGTCTGGCCATCGCTCGGACGTCTATTGCCTGTTTTTTTTTTGGTTTCGTGCGTGGCCTTTTCGCCAAATGATCAAGGATGCTCCTCGATGCTCCTCGCCGAAGGAAAAATGCACACGTCCGAGCGATGCCAAGTCATTTCGGGGCGCATCAGTTCTGTGGCCGGTCGGTCCCCTGCTCGAGCCTCCTGTGACTGCAGGCGGCCCTGCAGCGCGGCTCGGGCGGCGGTGAGCTCCGCGACCTCTGCCGGGGGGGGGGGGGGCGGGCCCGGGAGCGCGGGGGCCGCAGGCGGCCCCAGCCGCATCGAGGACACGCCCGCGGGGATGCCTGGCGCCTCCCCGCTCGAACAAGAAACTTCCCTTCCCTGAATCCTCCAGGAGGATTCCTCCTCCTCCTCCTCCTCCTCCTCCTCCTCCTCGTCCTCCCTCTCCTCCTCCTCCCCCCCTCTCCTCCTCCTCCTCCTCCTCCTCCTCCCCTCCTCCTCCTCCTCCTCCTCCTCTTCCTCCTCCTCCTCCCGATGCCCCCCCCCCCACCATCATCCATTCATCCTCCTCCTGCCCTTCCCCCTCTTCTGGGAGGGCACGCCCGCGGGGATGCCTTGCGCATGCCAGCAGGCGTCTGAGCACAGGAAGCAGCTCAGCACTGGCTGTGGTCGGTGGGCGCGCGCCCAGGACGACCGAGTCGACCACGACTCGGGTGGACCCAAAAGGGGGTCCAACGACAAGGGGGTGGTACAGCAGGTTTGGTGCAATCGGTTCGTGGGGTTGCAGTACATTTGGAGCGTAGCAATCCGGAGGGCAGATGAATTGCTGTATTTTCGTGTGCAATACATTACTTGTAATACAATACAATACAATGCAATTCTCCTGCGCAGGGTCCAGGACGACCTAATCGACCACAACCATAACCAACATGCTCATGCCGAGGTCGGTGCAATTCTCCCCCGAGGGGCCCTTCGGAAAGATCCTCAGCTCCGGTAAGTACGGCATGCATGTTGCTTCTCGGGTCCTCGGCCTCCACATCGCCGTGCACTTCCGCATCATCGCCACCCCACTCCTGCTGCTACCCCTCCTCGCTATTTGTCTTCATTTCCTCCACCTCCTCGGCGTCGTCTTTCGCCCCCTCCTCCTGCGTCTCTTCCTCCTCATTCCTCTACCTCGTTGTGGCCAGGGTCTTCGTCATAGTCGGCGGCACCGGCCGTCAGACCTTCGCAATATTTGGCGTTGCGCGCGGGCTTCTTGGATTCGCGCTGGACCCCCCCCCCTCCCTGGAGCGCGGAGCGCGCCAGGGGCGGCGTCGGAGGCGCCGCATGGGGGGCCAAGGCGCGGATCCAAGAAATCCGCGGAGCGCCAAAAGTTTATGTTTATAGGTCTTCTTCTTCTTTGAGTCAAGGAGCCCACACATACCCGCGTCGCGAAACAGTAGGACACTTTTGACCGTTCTCGGCCTCCGGGGGCCCTCGCCGGGCTCTGGATTGTGACACCGGCCCTGGAGGGCATGGGTCGGGACTTCGGGTGGGCCCGTCTTGAAAAAATCAGGACGTCGCATCCCTGGGGAAGGCCCTCGAGGCTGTGCCGGCCGCGCAAAGCCATCATTCGGACGAGCGTCAGGGATAAACAGCCTGCAGGTGTTTGGGCCACAAGGGGGTCCAGCTGACAGGGGGTGGTGCAATGGATTTGTTGGGGCAATTGCATTGCGCAAATGCATTGCGCTGGAAATTTGCATTGCAAGAAATGCGTTGCACGCAAAAATCCAGCAATACATTTGCGCCCCGGAATGTATTGCACGCCGCAAATGTATTGCACCAAATCTACTGCACCACCCCCTTGTCGCTGGACCCCCTCCTTGGTAAACCCGAAGGTGAGGGGCAACGCTGGGGGGGGGCCAGCTCAGGGAGGAACACAACTGCCTGGAATCGGCGATACACCGCCGACAGATCGGCGACACAACGCACGTTCCTGGGCAAGCTCGGCTCTCGTGCCCCTAGTGGCGTTGAGTGAGACTGTCGACGCATCACCACCTGAGCGTATCCCGCCCTCCCCGTCCTCCTCCTCCTCCTCCTCCTCCTCCTCCTCCTCCTCCTTTCGCCTCCTCCTGGCGAGCGCCATTACGTTACCCCGGAGCACGGGGCACGCGACGCCACCACCACCAGAGCGGGGAGCTGAGGGAGGTCCTCCTGGCTAGATGACGACGACGCGGCACACACATCAGGTCGGGCGTGTCCTCCTACAGGCGGATTCTAGACGACGAATAGAAATACACCCAAACAATTCAAAATAGCCCAACAAAGTAATAATAGAAACATTGCCTCCAGGCGATGTGTTGCGGCTATTCTTTAATTGTCTCCCTGTAGAGGGACATGCCCGACTTAACAGGAAGTCGGGCCTGTTTCTCTACAGGAGGACAATTCGAAAGTAGTGAAAAATTGTCTGGAGGCGATGTTTCTATCATTGTTGAAGATGTTCGAGCATGTGCTAACAATTGTTTGTGGTTCGTCCAAAACCCGCCTGTGGGGGGACATGCCCGACTTAGCACAAGCACTGGGCGGCGCGCCCACTGGGGGAAGCGAGAAGGGGCGGGGCTTCCCAGAAGGCTCGGAAATCCCCCAGCCTTCTGCCTTCCCTGAAGACACAAGAAACTTCCCGGACTCCTCCTCCTCCTCCTCCTCGTCCTCCCCCTCCTCCTCCTCCTCCTCCTTCTCCTCCCTCCTCCTCCTCCTCCTCCTCCTCCTCCTCCTACTCCTACTCCTCTGCCTCCTCCTCCTCCCGATGTCACTCCCCCCCCACCATCATCCATTCATCCTCCTCCTGCCTTTCCCCCTCTTCTGGGAGGTCCCGCCGCCTCTTGAAAAAGGCCTCGTCCTTCTCACGTCCCCCCCTCGCCTCCGAAATAATAACTTTTTGGGGGTCCGTGCGGATTTTGTAGATCGTCGCCGGAAGCCCCCTGGCAGCGCTTCCGGCGCCGCCCCTGGCGGGGGGGGGCCAGCGCCGATCCAAGAGATCCGCGCGGACCTCCGAAAGCTTACGTTTATGCCATCGTATTATGTCGCCCCCATCGCACTTAAGGACTACACCCCAGAAATAACTTCGAGCACCGAGAAAAGTGTCGAGACAATGTCGAACGACTATCGCCTCCCAAGGCCCGACACGTGAAAACCCTCAAATTTCGATACTTTCTGGGTGCTCGAAATCATTTCTGGTGGTCAAAGCTACAATAGGCCGGAACATCATAACAATAATTAATTTATTCTTCGATGGTGATGTGCCTCTCGCCGCAACTTTTTTCGCCTTCGTGCCTCAATTCGCTTCTAATGCACCCCACCGCTTGCTGACCGGCAGCTGGCCGTCTTGGACCACGCGGCGCCCGCGGACTTGAACAGCGTTCCTCGCCTCGTCGAGGTGCTCCCTGCCCTCAGCTCGGAGAGGCATCGTGGACTTCCTAGTTGGAGATCCCCCTAGTGTCAGGTCGGGCCTGTCCTCCTACAGGCGGATTTCGAAAGACAAATTACAAAGTGTCAGACAATGCCCAGAAATATTAAACAAAAAGAAAAGATCGTCCCCAGACTATTGTTTACTATGTTTGATTTTTCTTGTAGAGGGACACGCCTGACTTAACCTAAGTGGTGGTGGTGGTGGTGGTGCCGTGATCTTCGGCCCTGTCATCAAGCTGCCAGCAGGCACTACCCGGGCGGACCTCCTCGCTGGAAGTGGCGGTCGCTGGCGGTGATTGGGAAGTGTCGTTTCTCTCTCCTCCGGAAGGGGGGGTCCTCGAAGATATCGGGAGCGGCCAAGAGGGGGGCGTCCAAGAGGTCGGGGTGCAACTTACGACCGGCGGCATGTGCGCGGCCCAGGGGGGGCCAGGGACGTACTGAAACAAGAAGAGGCGCCAGGAAATCTGGGGATAAATCATGGCCCACGCCATGATATCCTCCCCCCCCTCGTCATCAACCCCCTCTTTGCCGCCCCCGAATGTGTGCTGGCCACGCGAAGCTGCCAGAACTGGACCCTCCAGATCCACTCGCTGCCCACGGCCTACATGGGGGGCCCAGGTGGCGCCCCCTGAGGTGGCTCGGGAGAGGGAGGCTCCGGCACGCCTGAGGGGCCGCAGGAGCACCTGAGCTGGCCTTAGGTCGGGCCTGTCCCCCATACAGGCGTAAGAAAGTTGCTCAAAAAACAAAGATACTCAACAAATAGTTACTCAAAAAATAGTTGCTCAAAACATACAACACAAAACATCGAAACATCGTCCAGATACTATTTTTGTTATATTTTTGTATATATTCCTCCTGTAGATCTGTAGAGGGAGAGGCCCGACTTCAAGCTGGCCAAGCGGCCCAGGAGGCCCTCCACGGCGACCCAAGGGTGCCCCAAGAGGACACCCCTGAGGGCCCTGGACTGGTACGCGCGAGGATCTGGGCATCGATCCAGGGGCAACGACTGGGTCGGGCATGTCCCCCTAAAGGCGGATTTTGGACGAACGAAAACCCAACATTGTTCCAACATTGTGAAACATTTGTTTTAAATCGTCCCCGGACTATGTTTTGACTATCTTTGACAATTCCCCATGTGGGGGGACAGGCCCGACTTAAGGCAACGAAGACGGGCGACGCCCGACGAGAGCGAGACCTTCGCGCCGGACGGGGGCACCCTCGCGGGGCCATGCCCCGCAGGGCGGGGCCTCCGCAGAGGAGGGGCTCACGCCCCAAACTCGCTCGCGGCGGCCCACGGCCTGGTGATCTCGTGGCATCCATCGGATTTCTCAAGACATCCATGGGATTCCGGAGATAATTCGTAGGATTCCTTAGGACATCCATAGGACTCCTCAGAAAATCCATCGGATTCCGTAGGAACTCCGTCGGAGGCCTCGGCGCTCCGGGTCTTCGAACGGCGTCGGTCCATCTCGCTGGTTCCCGAAACTTCTCTTGCCTCGGGATGCGCTTCGGCGGCTGCGCCTCGCCGAGAGCGTTCCGGGGTGCCGAGATCGTCCGGAACGGCAGCTGGAGGCCCGAGCAGTGACCCGGAACCAGCGAGACGGGCCAGCCGAGACCCCAGCCGAGACCCCAGCGGCCATCGCTGGCGTTGTTCCTCCTGTGTGTGCCTCCTGGAAAGTCCTTGTCGCGGCGGCTGGGCCAGTCTATGAAAACGAATCAGAATGGACCCCGGGAGAGGCCTGGGCGGATTGCGCGGATTGCGACCAGGCGGAAGAGCCGCCGTTGCTGTCTCAGGGGAACGAAGGATGACATAGACGTAGAAATCGGAGGTCCGCGCGGATTTCTCGGATCGGCTCTGGACCCCCCTCCCTGGCGCGCGGAGCGCGCCAGGGGCGGCGCCGGAGGCGCCGCCAAGGAGGTCCAGCGCGGATCCGAGAAATCCACGCGGACCTCCGAATCTTTATGTTTATTCCCCAATCAGTGCTTGCACTGAGTGAGCTGGGTTCCCGGGTTCCCGGTTCGGGGCTCTGGGGTTCCTGGTTAGTGGGTCCGTCGGTGGGCCCCGGTTTCCTGGTTTCCCGGTCCATCTCTTTTTCCTGCAAGATCCTGCAGGAACCTACAGACTTGCATTTTCGGCGGTCCACACGGATCCCATGGATCGGTCCTCGGCGCTCCCTGGCGGCGCCTCTGGCGCCGTATCCGGGGCGCTCCAAGCGCCAGGTAGGGGAATCCAACGCTGATCCAAGAGATCCACGCAGACCTGAACCCGTTTTTTTTCTTATGCTGTAGTGCTCTTCTCTAGGAGGAGCACGGGAAGGAAAGCATCGGGCACACCCGAACATGGATGGGAGAACATACCCCGCAAAGATATGAAGCCAGCGCCGCCTGAAACGGTGACGGAGAGCGCCGATGTTGCATGGAAGCGGGGCCTGCCGCTAAACCACGCGCGTGAATCGTGGAGGCGGCCAAGGAAGATCTGAGCCGAATGGGCTCTCGGAGAATCGGTCAAAACAAAGAGGATGATGGCAAATCCGCTCACAGTCGGTCCCCAGACTTGCCCCGGAGTCCATCTGGTATACTTTTTCGCCCTGGATCCATTTCTGAAGGTCCCAGGTCCGAAAACGGCTCCCGGAGATGAGGAGGAGGAGGAGGAGGAGGAGGCGGAGGAGCAGGAGGGGGAGGGGAAGGAGGAGAAGGAGGAGGAGGGGGGAAAGGAGGAGGACGAGGAGGAAGAAATAAGCACATAATCGAACCCAGAACCTCGAACCTCGCCCCCCTCTGCGACCCCCAGTCGGCTCCAACCTTACTAATCAACGCTTGCCTGTCCTCGAGCGCAGGAGCGGTCCTGACGAGGCGGGGCGAGCTGCCAACTTTGCCGCCGCACGGGCTGGGGGTCCGGGCCTGCGCTTCCAGCTCCCCCAGGCGCTCCACGGGGTCCGCTGCTGCCGCGCGCGACCCTCGGGGAGGGGGAGGGGCTGTCGACCAGCGAAGACGGGAAGAGGGAGGAGGGGAAGGGGGGGGGATGAGAAAAAAAAGGGAGGAGGAGGAGGGGGAGGAGAGAGGAGGAGGAGGAGGAGGAGGAGGAGAGGAAGGAGGAGGAGGAGGAGGAGGGAGGAGGAGGAGGAGGAGGAGGGAGGGGAGGAGGAGGGAGGAGGAGGAGGAGGAGGGAGGAGACAGGGGGGGGAGAATGAAGAGGACGAAGAGAGGGGCAGACCAGGAGGACACGGACGAGGAGGGGGTCCTCGCGGACGGGTTTCTTGGACCCGTTTCGAGCCCCCCCTGGCGGCGCCTCTGGCGCCGCCCTTGGCGCGCTCCGCGCGCCAGGGTTAGGTCGGGCATGTCCCCCTACAGGAGGATTCTCGATGACAACTTTATAACACACAGAAAATATTCTAAAATGATAC